CTCACATCTGTTTGCAATACAAGTAACCTCACCCTTAAATAATATTTGACAGTAATTCCGCTGTGAATTTATGTTATAACCTTTATCAATTGCACATATGACTGAAAATAAATTTACTTTTAATTTTGGAACATACAAAACATCATACAAAATCGAAGATAAATACTTATTACCATTATAAGCTAAAAGATTTATAATTCCAATACCACATACCTTTAATTTATTCCCATCACCAATAGTTACATATTTTTCCTCAATATCTTTATATTCTACAAATGCATTTTTATCATTACACATGTGGTCACTAGCTCCTGTATCCATAATCCAGCTGTTTTTATCACAAACATTAGCAATGTATGCTTTAGGTGTACTATTTTCAAAATTATTTTTGCGAAGTCTACAATCATTATAGACATGACCAACTTTTCCACATTAATTACACTTCCTTATTCTACAGTCTTTCTTAAGATGACCAACTTTATTACAATTAAAACACTTAGATTTTGAAATCTGTTGTTCCGGTGTCCTATTCTGTTGTTGTACTGTGTTCCTTATTTTACTTCTGTTTGTCACCAGTGCCGCTGTTGAGAAAGATTCCTGTCCTCTGTTTTTATACGTTCCTCTTCGACTAATAATCTAGCTGTTAGACTTTTAAATGTCTGTTCTGTTTCTGGTATACTCCCATGCCGATATAAAATGCTGGTAATCCTCTGGCAAAGTTACTAATATCTTTGTTATAAGCATCTTCTCTGATATAATCTCATTTGAAGCTTTCAATTTGTTAACTAAATCCTCAACAAGTACTATATAATCTGACATAAGTTCTGAATACTGTAAATTATAAAATTTTCTTTGTAAAAGGTGAACACCTACCATTGTCTTAGCCTCAAAAATTGTGTTGAGTTTTTCCCACATATCATATGCTGTTGAACATGATAACAAATAAGACATGACACTCTCTTCGACTCTTGTTACAAGTATTTCTTGTGCCTTGCTGTCCTTGATATTGAAGTCCGACTTTGTTTTGAAATCTCTGTCTGTTACAACTTCCCATAGGTCTTTGGCTTTTAATATCTCTTATCTATTAGACAAGTCCGTCCGTCCGTCCGTCTGTGGTGCTGTTTCAGCGGCCAAACCGTAAGAGATAGATAAAGAGAATATTTAAGTTATAAGTTAAGAATAGTCTGATAAGACTACAAACCGGATTTGAGTAACGTATCACTTCCTGTTTTCGAGAAATCACGAATTTCAAACGAAACCACACAAAATCTCCGAAGTTCTCAATTAATTAAATACATTTTTTTTTTAAATCAGGTTTTGGTGAACATTTGGTTCACTGGTTTGCTAGTTACCTTTATTTGAAAACTCCATGTGCTCCAATTCTGTTTGTTGAGTAATAATACTCTATCGCGTTCCATTTTCGTTTGATGTATGTGTATGATGTTTTTGTTCAATCTGTAGGTAATCTTCTGTTCACGTACCTATATAAACACACCTCACATCCAGGGCCTGGGCGCATTACCTAATGGTGGTTATCGTGGAAGTGTGAGGGTGATAAAGTAACGAGATTGGTCTTCTGTAAACAGGTTTATTAAAGTACACAATGTCGGCCATGAACAGAACAAGTAAGTTTTTGTTATAAAGGAAAAAATGTTGCCACAGTGCAGATTATAATAAGGACTACTGAAAATACAAGTATGTTCAGAAACTTAATTTATATGTCGTTTATTCCTAACATTAACAACGAAAATGCATTTTTTTAAAATAGATGTCGCTAGGTGCGCTTAAATGTGATTCATGTACATTGATTTTTCTGAGATAAACTTTTTAATGTAATATAAATTGTTTGTGTACGATAGCGCAATAAATAAATATTGTATTCTACCACATAAATAATAATACATTTATACAGATAATTTGTTGGCTGTCCTTAATAAATAAATAAAATAAAATAAATAAATAAAGCAATTCGTGCAAAATTATTCCCTAACCATTCCAAAATATCAAAAATGCACAATGTTAATATTCAAGTTTTTACTTCTGCCGCCACTCCCGGTGTGCAGTCCATCGTTTTTTTTCTTACAGGGAAGTGGGAGGGTGTCTTTACAGTTCTTACGTAAGATCACAAAAATGCGCAAAGTAAAGATTATACCCTGAAAAAATAGTTTATTACTACCAAAATAATAAAAATTACTAGCACCTTTGTAGGTACAAATAAATTTTCCTAAATATAGGTCCCACCAATCCGTACATCGCCCGCCTAGTGTGTCCTTAGACCAGCCATAGGGAAAACCTGTGCCCCAGCAGTGGGGACATTAATAGGCTGATGATGAGTTGACGACCAAAATATCTATCATAGATACCGCTGATGCATTTGTGGATTGCTGTATGGTTTTGATTCCGTGTTTTACATGTAGGAAGGCCAAAGGGGATGTTCTTCCTTCAAAATGAATGATGCTAGTTACGACTGCCGCGCCCCGACCGATGTTTGTTGGGCATTGTATATATAAAGAGTAAGCCTCCAAATTTCTCTTGCATGATGTAGGCTTCCACACTTTATGAGTGCAGCGCCGTTAGCGCCATCTCTTGACGAGGCGAGTGATTACTTACTCACTCCATGTTAGTTATCTGTGGGGCATGTAGATGTCGCCGCCACATACATAAGTATTTTTTGAACTTAGGGTTTTTGCTGTTTACTATATTAAGGGCTGATTTCTCGAACACTGGATAAGATTTATCTGTCTGATATCGTATTATACGGACAAAATAAGGAGTCGACTTGTGATAATTGATGTAATGACGGTTGACATCTCTCTCTATTTGATTGAGTATTAATTTATTGAACAGTTAAGTTTCATCAGAGTTTTGAAAAATCAGCCCTAAATTGTATGGATATAGTAACATTATAGCTATTAACGGGATTGCTACCATGTACCCTGTTTTTTTATGATATTTCGGCACTGTCGCAAGCGTCGAGTAGTTACTCCGTGATCTTGGCGCTTGCAACGGAGTAGTTACTCCGTGATCATGGTGCTTGCAACGGAGTAGTTACTCCGTGATCATGGCTCTTGCAACGAAGTAGTTACTCCGTGATCATGGCGCTTGTAACGGAGATGTTACTCTGTGATCATGGCGCTTGCAACGGAGTAGTTATTACGTGATCATGGCGCTTGCCACGGAGTAGTTACTCCGTATCATGGTGCTTGCAACAGTGCCGAAATATCGGATACCCATAAAAAACAAGTTAATAGCTTTAATGCATGGAGCACCCCCACTAGAGTCCGCATCACACAAATTTTGTTTGGAATCAAAATCGCCAAAGTCGGTGGGGTGCAGGGAGGTCAGCCCCGCTGTGATTGGACGCGTCAAGGTCAGATCATATACTCAGTGCAGCGAAGTGATGAGGGTAAGATCGATTTTAGAAAATATCGATATTTTCTGTCGATAAACAATTTAGAATAGAGGCATAGTACTTTGGTGCGCGAGTGTAAGCAAATGCGTAATCATACCCTCTCCACTTTCTTCCAGCGTTCTAATTACATGACGCGACTAGTAACTACATACTAAATTATATATAAGCAACACAAAAAAAAAACACGCCCAGGACAAGAAGTATTAATGCAACGATATTAACTACCCTAGATACAACAACACGAACAAAATCGTGGCCGAAACGTGTCCAAAAGGTACATTGGACGATCCACGGAGGTCCGTAAGATGATCGCGTGGTCAAAAACAATATAATGCCTTATTTAAACATTGAAATCACCTTTAATGCATACGGCATAAGGTCTTAATTAAAATGCATGCGTCAAGTTCGTAAAATTTTATGATTTATTGTTATGTGTGAAAGAATATAGACCTTATTTTTTTTGACTTTTCGCGCGCAATTCTGAATGCGCTGTTAGCAATATAGCAGGTACAGATCGCGAAGAAAAGAAAGGCTAAGGGCGACGTATAACCGACCATGCATTTGAATATCACAAATATTTTATATTAAATCAGTTTATAGTAAGTATTACAACAATTAAATTTGCTTTAAAGGCGTTAATTAAAAAACATTGATTAGCTACCCGTCGCAAAAACGACACTTTACGTACTATTAGTATTTTTCTGTATTTTTTCACGGAACTCTTTGGCATCTTGACTTTTCAACGGTCCGTGATTGAGTGGAGTTCAAGTACTTCTTGATGGGGACACATTTTGAGCGCTCGTGGTGTTTCTAGGGTATTTAATATCGTTAATTCTATGTCTTTATCTAGGTCATAAACTATGCGCACTTAATTTCATACAAATCCGTTTAACCGTTTTAGCGTGAAAGAGTAACAAATATGCATACAAATTTTCGCGTTTTTTCAATTTTATTAGGATATGTTTGAAGTCAAATAAAAACTGTTGGTTGTATACTCATGACATCTATTATTGTATACGATGAAATAAATAGTTTTTATTTATTTTTTCAATTTCCATAGCTGACAAACTTATCGATAAACTTACGCGTTGAGACATGAGCTGCGTCTGAGTCACTAGCAATACACGTGCCGGTGTGAAAGCGAGATAGCATATATGATGTAGCCCATGCGAGAAAGGGATAGTGTAAAAAGACATCAACGCGTTCACCAAAAAATAAATACAATTAACACCAATTTAATATAACAGTATTTTTGTCTTTTTGTAATGCATTTAAACTAACCAGTGAAAAGTAATACCATTTTTTTAAGACTGGAAGTTGTACTCGACTTTCCACACAATTTAATTGCACAGTACGGCATTTTTTACAGTTTTTTAACACGAAAACGAGAGAAGCAGTTCGACCATCGCTCGGTTACCGAATGAAACGATGTATCGCGACGTCTGTAGGCGTGCCTCACGCATAGGTAAAATACTACTTAAGCTTGGCGTAAGCGCTTGCCCTTGTATGCGGACTCTAGTGGGGGTGCTCCGTGCTTTAATGTTAGTGATTATGAAAGTTTAAAACAATATATGGATATACTACTAACTTCCGAATTGCACAGTTTCAGGCGTCTGGCCGTCGAACTGTATGGCCCATTCTACCAGTCCTCCTTGGTAAGTGGCGCTTGAAGCACGAACGCATAGAGATGAGAATATATACCCCTGGGTCGCCTTTATTCGCCACGATATCAAGCTGTCTTCGTCATTTTCTGCGTAAACACAGACAAACTATTAAATGAACATTACCCTTAACACGAACCAATATCGAATACATATCGTTTGCAAGTATGAAATGTCATTGTCAAATTTTGTATGAAAACCTGAACATCAGCGCCACAACGGACGTAACGAGAACTAAAAATCAGTATACATTTGACAATGACATTTCGCACTCGCAAACTATTTGAATTCGATTTCAGTTCATGCTAGGAGGGCACTGATAGATTTCTTACCTGTTCTCGCCAAATACACCATTTGCCAATCATGTTCTAATTTTCTCAATATATTTGTAGCCGAAAAAGCACCGGCCGACCACGTCTGGATAACGCCCGGCTCCGGACCGGATATCCGGTATTCATCGGCTACGGGGAAGTACCTTAAGTCATAAAAAAAGGTAAGATTATGTTAAAGTTTCAGCTATCTTCGCAACTTGGAATTTCTCACATTTAACTTGACTAACTAAAAAACTCGAGTCTACAATTAAGCCGCGATGTGGCATCATTGAGCGCATTCTACCGACTATACCACGGCGAGTGTTCTGAGGAGTTATTCTCCCTTATCCCTCAATCACCTTTTCTTCAGAGGACTACGTGCGCTGAACTACGTTTCCACCGACTTACTGTGGCCACTATTCCTATACGAACAAAGAAATTGGTGACTCATATCTTTGTCGTACTGTCCGCAAGTGGAATTCTTTACCCGCGCACGTGTTCTCTCCTTCCTACAATCTGGGGTCCTTTAAGAGAGGTGTGAAGAAGCATTATTGCAGGCCGGCAAGGTGAGATTGGTTGGTGTGTTAGTTTATAACTGCTGTACCAGCTATCTTCGGGTTTGGACTTTATCACCACTTAACATCAGGTGGGGTCATTTATTTGCCTACCTGGCTTTATAAAAAGAAAAATAACTTAAAGTAACAGAGTCTAATATTTTTCACGGATTAAATTATCGTACGCTCAATGCAGGTAATCATCATCAGCCTATTTATGTCCCCACTACTGGGGCACAGGCCTTCCCAATGGTAGGAATTGGGAGATTGGCCATGTCCCACCACGCGGGCCCAGTGCGGATTGGCGGATGCGAACGACTGCAGATGCAGACGGGACCAACGGCTTAACGTGCCTTCCGAAGCACGGAGGAACTCGAGATTTTTGGTCACCCATCCAATGACCGACCATTGCGAAAGTTGCTTAACTTCAACGATCGCAGCCGAACGCGCTAGCTACTTGCGCCATCGAGCTCCTCCGATGCAGGTAATAAACTATAATTATATGTGTATCAAATATCATCTTAATTCGTTCAGTCGTTGTTGCGTGATTGAGTGAGAAACATCCAAACTTTCACATTTATAATATTAGTAGACTTCTTTACACTTATTTTTTAATACTTATTTTTACATTAACAAAGGTACTGGAACTACACTTAAAAAAACCCACACTACACAAAAAAATGTTCAGGCGTGTAAATATAACACATGGACAGACATTTATATTTGCATTTATAATATCAGCATGGATACTTCCAGACGGCACAGGAGCTCGATGGCGCAGGTGGTTAGCGCGTTCGGCTGCGATCGTTGAAGCTAAGCAACTTTCGCAGAAGTCGGTCATTGGAAGGGTGACCAAAAATCTTCTATCTCGAGTTCCTCCGTGTTTCGGAAGGCACGTTAAGCCGTTGGTCCCGGCTGCATCTGCAGTCGTTAGTACCCGCCAATCCGCACTGGGCCCGCGTGGTGGGTCATGGCCCAATCTCCCTATTAGATCCATAGGGAAGGCCTGTGCCCCAGCAGTGGGGTCATTAATAGGCTGATGATGATGATACTTCCGGACACATCTCTAGCTAAAAGTAATGTTACATTGAGCAAAAAGTTATTACCTACGCAGTAATGAACCTGATTTATTAACCATCTTTTCGTGTTTTTTTTAAATTATTGCTCAAACATAAACATACATTTATGCTTACAGACCGTTGAAACTTATAACACTAAGTGGACCGATAGATGTCTCCGGAAGTATTATATGCGACAATGATCTTTATGAATGCGGCGAAAATTGGAACTAACGCCGCCATCTTCGTAAACGTCATAATTTTTATGTCATACAATACAATACAATACAAAATTCTTTATTGAAACACCACAGTACAGTACATAAATGGGTTAAATACATCATGTTTAAACAGTGATTCAATGGGCGGTCTTATCGCTAAAAGCGATTTCTTCCAGACAACCTTTGGATGGAGAGGATTGAATGAAATTGGAGTCGGTGGTGTTATAAAAGAAACAAAGGATATAAAAATGTATATAACTATATACATTAAATATATATACATACCATACATACACATAATATTACTATAAGATATATATATGTAATATAAATATATGACATATACATACATAGACTACACATATAAAAGTTTAATCCAGTCAGAAAAAAAAAAAAAAAAAAAAAAGCAATTGCAGTTACGTCGACAAATAATGGTTGAAAACAAGTTTTTTGAAAGTATGAATAGATTGTGCTCGTCTTATGGATACTGGAAGAGAATTCCACAGGAGAACAGCTTGGACGGCAAAAGAACGACCATAGAAGGTTGTGTCATGAGTAGGAATTTTTAGGGTTAAATTCTCTGATGACCTAAGAGATAACGCGTTTGAGGTATGAAGGTAATTGAAGCATTCCTTGATATAGCGCGGGGACAAAGGATTGAACAATATATTGTAGAGAAGTGTGAGGATATGAGTATTCCGGCGAAGTCGAATTGGTAGCCACTTGAGCTGTGATCGAAATTGCGACACATGATCATATTTGCGTAAGCAAAATATGAAACGAATACAGAAATTTTGAAGTCGCTCAAGCTTATTAAGCTGGTCTTCCGTGAGATCAAGATAGCAGGCGTCAGCGTAATCAAGAATAGGAAGCAGCAGAGACTGTGCTAGGGAAATTTTGGTGGCAGTAGGAAGGAAATTGCGAAGTCTCTTCAGCGAGGCTGCCGAAGCGAACAGTTTTTGGCTAACAGTTTGTAACTGTGGACCCCAACTCAAACAGTTATCGACAGTTAATCCTAAGTTTTTTACAGAAACACTGAATGGAATATTGGTGCCAGCAAGGGATATGGTAGGAAGTAACTGCCAGTTCACTCTGGCAATCAACCTTGAGCTACCAATGATAATGCACTGTGTTTTGGAGGGATTTACTTCTAGTCCGAAAGATTCGCTCCACTCTACAATGTGTCGCAGATCATTATTTGTTGCCAGTATTGCTTCGGATAATTGACCAAGAGAGGCTTGTCTATAAATTTGAAGATCATCTGCATACAGGTGGTAGGAAGAAGAAATATTATTGGAAATAGAATTAATAAATATAGCGAAGAGAAGAGGAGATAAAACGCCGCCTTGGGGAACACCAGCAGAAGTGTCGATCCACGAGGAAAAAACCTCATCGACGCGAACCCTCTGCCTGCGTCCCTGCAGATAACTGCGAAACCACTCAATTGCCGATGGAGATACGTTAAGAGAGCGCAGCAAAGCCAAAAGAATGTCAAAATTGACCGTATTAAAGGCATTGCTGAAATCTAGTAATGTCAATACTGTGAGATGACCCTGATCCATCCCAAGGCGTATGTCGTCTGTAATTTTCAGGAGGGTAGTCGTAGTACTATGCCCAGGACGGAAACCGGATTGAAGAGGATTAAAAAGATTATGACGAGACAGGAATGTATTGAATTGGTTAAGGACAAGACGTTCAAGGACTTTAGATAAGAAAGGAAGGATAGAAATAGGCCGAAAATCAGCAAGAAATTGAGGATTACATTTTTTGGGCAAAGGAACGATTTGGGCTTCTTTCCAAGCCGATGGAAAAACAGCATTTGTTATAGAGCTATTAAAAAGAAAGGTAAGGATAGGAAGGATCATATCTAAGATAGGTATCAGCATATTACGACTAATACTATCATTACCTACCGCATTGGAAGAAATGGACAGCATGCTCTTCTTAACGTCACATTCGGAAAATTGAGTAAAGACAAAAGGAGAGTAGTCTGGAACTGGTAAAGATGAAAGAACATTTATAGTACTAGCTTTGTGCAAATTACTGAAACTAGAAGATACAGAGAAATGAACATTAAGTGAATTGATATCGATGTTACTAGGAAAAGACGTTTGACGAGGTTTACCAATTCCAAGTGATCTAAGGAAGTTCCACACTTTAGCAGGATCATTATTGCTGACAGATGCATGAATATGGCGACGTAAAGCATCCCTACACACCATGTTACAGTGATTGCGAGCCTTTGCATAGTTGTTTTTATTAGAGTCTGTCGGACGAATTTTATATTTACTCTTGGCCACATTCTTCTTGTGCATCAATACTTTTATCTCTGGTGTAAGCCAAGGTGCTGGATGGTGCTTAAGCTTAATAGGACGAAGCGGTGCATGTTTATCATAAAGCTTGGTTATAATATTGTTGAAAGTATGCACTTGTTCGTCCAATGTAGCCGCGCTAGTCACTAACGACCAGTCGACATCATGCAGGTCTTTGAGTAACGCCTCCTGATCCATACCACCAAAATTCCGCTGAAGAATGACTTTCGGCTTGGGCTTAGGAGGACGAATCTTGTACGATAAGAAAATCAAGTCATGGTATGAGAATGCATCTGCCGCACATTGACCGTGTTTCGTAGCACGTTGAGGAGAAGACACTATTAATAAGTCGAGAAGTGAGGGAGTAGTATTGGGGAAATGATGGGTAGCGCTAAGTGGAAGGATGTGTAAATTACATGAACTGACAACGGATTGAAGAGAGGTGGCACGAAAATCACCTTTCAAGAGACATGTGTTGAAGTCACCCATGATCAGGGAATGGTCATAAGAAGGGACTGTATTTTCTAAAAGCTGTTCAAAAGAACTGAAAAAATTTACATTTAAGGAAGGGCTGTAATAGACTCCGAGGAGGATTTTGGTGTGGGAAAGGAGTACCTCAACGAACAAATGTTCACCAGCATTAGTTGGTGGAGGCTGTGGGGAGGAGCTAATGACATTAAAGGGAATACCAGTACGCAGGTAAATAGCAACTCCACCACCTCGCGAACCAGTACGGTCATTACGTATTAACTGGAAACCAGGTAAGGTATATGCAGTGGAAGGTAAAGAAGGTTTAAGCCAGGACTCGGAGACTAAAACAGCATGAAGATTTTTATTGTCAAGAGACGCCAACATATCGGTGTAGTGAGCCGGAATACTTTGCGCGTTGATATGAACCACGTTAAAATTTTTAGGTACATCAGAAAACTGGTTATCTAGGTATTCAGAAAGAGAAGGTATACTTATAAAACTACTGTCAGTGCTGCCGCTAGCAGGTGATAAAGATTGGAAAAAATCATCGTTACTATCTATTTCTGAACCGGACATAAAATTCAGACTTATATACTATTAATTATAAATATATAATATAAATCCAACAAATTATATATATATATATATATATATATACCCAAAATATAAATATTTAAATAAATTTCATAAACTATCAGACAAAATTTAAACTACCTAGGCTCCACCTGCCGGTTGAGTGGAATAAAATTATAAAAAGAACACTGATTTCAACATCCATTACAACACAGAATCAAAACAGGCAACAAAGCTAGAAGATTACAACAGCATTTGATATTTAACATTGTCTGCTAATAAAAACCAAAGAAATAATAAAATCAAAATGGAAAAAAAAAATAAAAACTAAAAAGGCTGTATGTAAGCAAAAACTTATGCTTTACGTTGATAAAGAACAAAAAGAAAAAAAAATTAAGTGTCACTGTCATAATGTCAATTACTAGATTTAGATTTAAGTTTATCTTTTAAAATTACACCCTCGTTTGTGAAAGCAATAAGTATTATATAAGTTTGCATAGGAAATGGCTATTTACCGATGCAACAAGATGGTATGATATCATAGCCATAGAAGTAACGAACTTGTAAAATTACCACAAATTGTAACAGACTTGAAAAACAACAAACAAACAAACAGTGACAATGAAGTTATTAGCTATTGAAAACCTTATGTTACTTCTTGCTTGCTGCATTGGCTGCACGTCTCGTCTTGGTGTTATTAGAAGATGTTGAAGCTGCAGGTTTAGGCGACTCGACTCTTGCCACTACTGGTGCTGAAATTTTATTCATTTCGGGCGACTCGACACTCGTCACTACTGGTGCTGGGGTTTTGTTAGGCACGGGTGACTCTGTTCTCACCAATATTGGAACTGGGATCTTTTGCAGCTCGGCAAGGTTGCTGATGCGGTGTCGCTTGCCATCACCTCCAATAACAAACACGAAGCCCATACGCGTGTAGCACTTGTTAATGCCAAACCGCTCTCGTGCAGCCATGAACGCATCATGCCTGTTCTTCGTAAGGAACTCTGTCAGTGTTAGACCAGTGCCCTTCAAAGTGGTTTTGCTGAACCACATTTTGTTTCTGACAGCTAATTCTCTCAGCTTTACTACAATTGGCCGTGGACGATGATTTGTAGAAGAGCGACCCATCCGATGACAACGACTGATGTCGCCAGAAGAGAAGGCTGACAGCCCCATCTTAGCTCTGATAGCCTGTACAACAGCTGCTGTAACATCCTCCTCTGATAGCTCTGGTAGACCGTGTAGGAGGAGGATTTTCCGCCGGCTATTCATTTCTAAGCTGTCAACTTGATGAGCCAGTAAGTTGATTTGTTCCTGCAGACTTTGAACGGAGGAAAGAATAAAACTCCTAAATGTTGCGAAGTCTGCTGTCAGATTGGAGACATTGGGAGATGGAGTAGCAGCTTGCAGCTCACTTTGATAGGCATCCATCCGCTTTACAAAAACATTCTGCAGTTGAGAAAGAGTTTCCTGTATGCTGTCCATTATGTTGATGACGAAAACAAGTGTTGGTGATAATAAATAATGAAGATAACACTCGCCGGCAGGTACTGTGCACTATTTATTAATTTGACATAAGAATTTCAATTCTTGATTTAATAATTGTAATTAATTAAATAATTAAAATTAAGAGACACTTAAAATCGACTTTCTTTTACAACTACCCACCGCGAAAAAAATCGCGTCATTTGCGGTCATAGACAGCAGCGCCTTCCCTGAACTGTCACTCACATTCATAAAGCTTCTTGTTGGACTGTAATCGTGTTTAACTTCGTTTTTTAGGGTTCCGTAGCCAAATGGAAAAACGGAATCCTTATGGATTCGTAATGTCTGTCCGTCTATCCGTCCATATGCCACACCAATTTTTTTCCGAAAAATTAAGAACTATACTGTTGAAACTTGTTAAGAAAATGTATTCTGTGAACCGCATTAAGATTTTCAAACATAAAAACTACAAATTTTGGGGGTTCCCCATACTTAGAACTGAAACTCAAGATTTTTTTTTCATGAAACCCATACTTGTGGCGTATCTATGGATAGATCTCCAAAATTGATATTGTGGTTTCAAATATAATTATTTTCTAAACTGAATAGTTTGCGCAGGAGACACTTCCAAAGTGGTAAAATGTGCCCCCTCCCCCCACCCCTGGAACTTCTAAAATAAGAGAATGATAAAACTAAAAAAACTTCCACCAACAATTGGTTTGAACGAGATATAAGGGAAACCACCCAATCATTGGCACTCGTCCTATTATTGGCACTTTTGAGTTTAATTCGGAAAAACAAGGAGACAATGGATTATTCAATGTCGTTACATATTAAAATTTAAAAGGTTATTCTCCTAGTATGGTTTCCAAATTTGAAAATTGGCAGCATTATTCCTACAATCTATTGTTTCCTGTTTTTTTCGAACTAAACTCAAAAGTGCCAATAATAGGAAGAGTGCCAATGATTGGGTAGTTTCCCCTAGTTATTAGTTTTAATACGTCATAAATTACAAAGCAATTAAAAATACACTATTATAAAAAAACAATCAAAGTTACATCAAACTACAAGAACTGTTATATTATGTTACTTGCTGCTACGGAACACTTCACGGGCGAGTCCGACTCGCACTTGGCCGCTTTGTTGCTTCACAGCTATGTTCATTATACTTAGCATTTTTACAAAAACCTAATTCCTTTCCAAGAAAGGTCCCTTTAAAAAAGCGTCAGTTTCTTATATATCGCGGTACCCTTAGCACGAACAAATATCAAATTCTTTGCGTTCACTGTTGTATGGATATTCCTCACTTACTCTATGCTGATATCGCCCATTTTGGAGAAAAGGAAGGTATGACCGCTGGCTGTTCCCGTTTCACCGCGTTCCGTCCGCCATTCCTTCGACCCGGATATCCGGCCGTGCATCTCATAATCTTCAGGCTTCCTATATAAAACCATCATAAAGGCTATATACAAGGATGAGGAGCTAGATGGCGCGATTCTGCGATCATTGAAGTTAAGCCATTTTCGTAATAGGGTTTTTGAGAGTATTAAATTAATTCTGCCAATATTTCTACTGGTTGAGTATTAATAAGTTGCTTAAACTTTCAAGATCGCAAAACGAACGCGTGTCACCGTCTAACTGAGGCCACAATTCTAACGCGTACAAAGAAATTTGGTGACTCATTTCTTGGTCGCACTATTCGTAAATGGAATGCTCTGCCTCTGCTCACTTGTTCCCTCCCTCTTACAACCTGGGATCCTTTAAAAGAGGCGTGAAGAAGCAACATGCAGGCCGGCAGGGTAGAACTGCTGTACCAGCTATCTTCGCGTCTGGACTTCACCTTCACTTAACATCAGGTGGGGTAGAGTCATTTGTCGGACCTATCTATAAAAAAAGCCGCTTGCGCCAATGAGATAGCTCCTCTACTCAATAATTTGGGCAATTTTCACAATATAGCTATAAGCGATCAATATCTTTCAGACAACCGATACGGTAAAGGTCCTCCAACGTAGGGTTACCAGACGTCCGGACTTTTAAACCATTGTTTTTTAATTACATTAAAATTTGAATAATAATAGTATATATTGCTTGAAATATCATACCTTTGTAACAAATTGAGAAATGGTACCATTTTGTGACTGTCGATATGTCAGGATTTTTGTCAGGACTTTTGAATTTCCTAAATGGTAACCCTACTCCCAAAACAACGGCTAACTTGTACAGAGGTCCGAGTAACAGAGGCACCCTCTAGTTGAGCTGACCCCCTTTAAGTTCGAGTGGTCTAGAGGCTCCAGACGTAGAGGAGACTCCCCGTGGGGAGATGCCATCTGCCTGGAATACCTCTAGAGGCACTCACAAATTCTGGCATGAGGTCCCCTTAGAATCTCGCCGTCTTCCAGACGGCAGAGGAGCTCGATGGCGCAGGTGGTTAGCGCGTTAGGCTGCGATCGTTAAAATTTAGCAACTTTCGCAGTGGTCGGTCAATGGATGGGTGACCAAAACTTACTATCTCGAGCTCCTCCGTGCTTCGGAAGGCACGTTAAGCCGTTGGTCCCGGCTGCATCTGCAGTCGTTAGCACCCACCAATCCGCACTGGGCCCGCGTGGTGGGTCATGGCCCAATCTCCCTATTCCATCCATAAGGAAGGCCTGTGCCCCAACAGTGGGGACATTAATAGGCTGATGATGTCATCATCATGATGTCATTATGATGATTTATTTTAAATAAAGTTGTCGTTTTAAAACCTACAATAATCGATATTTTATTTTATAGCCGAAACCAGCAGTGATGATGATGATGACTACTCGGACCGTAGTGCAGCGATGAGCGGAATTAAAGAACTTGATTCTGATTAATGTTTTTCTCACTCAGTCTTAATAAATAAATATTATTAAAACTCCGATAATTTTTCTCACTTAATCTTGGTAAATAAGTTTTATTAAAGAAAAACTTTTTGCTCACTCTACCTAACTGGTTTGAATTGACAGCTATGACGTCCCAGTCAATCCTATTATAGTTGAATCGCATTGTAGGTATGTCAGCTCACCTTTCTCCAAGGAACTGAGCCAACTCCTGGGCAGTGCGTTTCTCCAGATAGTTCCTTCTGGCCGCAGACACTTGTTTCTGTCGATTCTCGCGCATCAACATGAGTGTCGACATCAACTCGTATTCGTCACAAAGGTTGCGTCGTTTTAGCACCTACACAATGTTTATAGAAATACTACTTATAATAATATATTTGGAATTTATAGCTGGTATATTGTTGTTTCGTTAATTATTACTAATTAATATGAATTTTATTATAAATGCAACCAACGGCTTATTTTAAAATCTGTGCAAACGTAGGTCAGTAACGAATGCTTTTGTATGGTTTCTGCCGCCCCGGGCCATACGCCCCTCAATGCAATTGTTACTGTCTGCATTATTTTTGAATTTTTATAATAAAACGTATATATTTATTTGAAAAGGTTGAATGAAGGTATGTATAAAGGTGCTGTCCCACGATCTGTATTGTCGCGGGCGAGGCCGCGCCGCGCAAGGTTGCCAAACGTATAAGAACTCTTTTAACTTTTAACGATTTACCAATATCTATACATGATACGAGGTAAATAGATATCTCGTACACTTTGATATGAGATTTGAACAATGTTGACTGTTTCTGTCATGTGTTTATGTCAATCCAACAACATTATCAGAAAGTAAATAAATGTCCAGTCCACAAAGGATCGTCCTTATTCGTATCATCATCTTGTATCATGTATAGATACTGCTAAATCTCGAACGTAAGAGTTACCATACATTTGGCTTCGCCTTGCCCGCGACAACACAAATAGTGGGATAGCGCCTTAACGCAACTCGCTGCTAGATGGCTCCACCAGTGCTTAAAGTCACACACCTACTCAAAGGGTATATACAGGGCGGCCCACGGGCATACCGCACGGAGGGAAAGTATATTAAATATTTAAGAAACAATATTTTACTGAAAGAAGACATCATTTAAATTTTAATAAAATAAGTAGATAATTTTTAAATCCTATCTTCAATATTTAATTTACTTTCCCCGCCGTGTGTCATGGCCGTGGGACGTCCTGTATAATGATTGGCCCTATAAGCGAAATTCTTCATTTGTTAGTCTGTAGTAAATTTATTTTTAGTTTTCTATTGGACAAGGTTACACAATGCTATTAAATAGGGGTTAAGTATCAAAATAAAAGGACTTGAAAATCCTCAATATTAATATGTATTCAAAAATTTCAAAATCAGCAGAAAAAGTTTCAAATGTGTAGTGATTAGCATACTAGAAATTATAGCAAAGAATGGCATACCAAATGCAAGAGGGCCAATCATTGAAGGAAGGCCAACATTAGAACAGAAAATTCATTTTTTTTTGTAGATAGGTCCAACAAATGATTCCACCTCACCTGATGTTAAAAGGTCATCCATAAAGTACGTCACACTGATTACGTGTTTTTTTTACCCCTTCCACGTCCTTGTCAAAGTTGGTCACATTTTTAAGTCCCCCTCTCCCTAGTGTGACGTCACATATTTTGCTATTTTAAATTTAGAAATTATTATTAATTTCAGCAGTTCCGAAATAATTTCCTAAAATTAGCCAAAAAAACAAATGAAAATATAATACAGATAAAGATCTTCATATTTTAAAGATTTTTGATAATTGTTCAAAAGTAGGTATTAGATTTTAAAATGTGACGTCACGAAATTTAGGACCCCTCCCACCCCTTGTCACACAAAGTCACACTTCGTCGACCCCCTCCCTTCCCTTTAACGTGTGACGTATCTTATGGATAGCCGGGCATGTGACGGTGAAGTCTCACCCTGCTGGCCTGCATGTTGCTTCTTCACGCCTCCTTTGTAGGATCGTTAATAAATTGTGTAAAGTTAAAATGTGCCAAAAACTACAGGTAGTCCTCGTACTTACGGCATGTTAGGATCTTGAAATACGCGACGTAAATAAAAACGACGTAAGTCGAGACATATTTTTTCATGTATGTTTACATGGAAAACTCAAGGGTTGACCTCACGACAAGTGAATTCGCCTATGCCGGAAATCGAAACAATTGACGTATGCTTGAGGAATAGTGTCAAAACATTGTTTGACGTAAATCGAAACGACGTAAGTCGAGGACTGCCTGTATGTTGGTTTTATCGACTAACCTCTTTATGGTTTGTCGTGTACCGCCACGTGACGTCCTGGACATCGTCTCTGGACACCGCTATGACATAAGAGAGCTTCTTTCCCCAACCGTGGCTATACATCAAGGGTGCGTTGATCTTCGCTTCACACGGATCGACGTGGAGCCAAGTGTTGGAGTCGTAATCAAACACCTGCGTGAAGTTGCTTAATTTCAACGATCGCAGTCGAACGCGCTAACGACCTGCGCCATCGAGCTCCTCGAAAATATGTACGTGTGTGTATAAATGGTAAACAAAAACAAGAGATATGTGTATGGAACACAGAAATAGGTTAGAAGGGCCTTGTGGGTAGGGCAGGCGCACCACAGTTGTGTGAGCAAATGCTCAAACTTGACCAAAACTTTGTTCTGATTGCGTCGTTGCTCCCGGGTGTGAGCGCCGATTGGTTCGATTATTTGATGGCGCGTCGTATGATTCGCTATTATCTATTAGGTGGAAGTGTAGTGGGGCGAGCCGGCGACATCGGTTACCGTTCAAACGGTCTATGATATCACTTCTAACCTCTTTCTGTGCCTTGTGGCGCACCGTTCTCTCTGCCCGGGACGTGACGTGAGAATAAAGTATTTGTTTAATATACAAGTCTTTCAGGATAAAAGTACCCTTACGCTGCATATTTCATTTTCTTTTTATTTTTGACCCGATTATAAATAATGGCGCGGTACTTGCTGGCAGTAGCTACTCAAATATAAGATCATTTCTATAGGTCCGTAACTTATTGCTAAAATTCAGACGACCAATTAACGATTAATTGAATGAATTAAATCAAATAAATAAATGACGACCTCTGTGGCCGAGGTGTCTCCTACTCGAGTGGCCTCGGGTTCGAATCCCCGTGGGGGCAAATATTTGTGTGATGAATACAAGCATTTGTACTCTAGTAATGAATGTTTAATATGTATTTCTATATAAATATGCTTATGCATGTATTCTATTCGTTACCCTAGTATCCCATGGCACAAGCCTACAGTGCATACTTTGGGGCTAGGCTAATTGGTGTGAGTGTTGGAAATATTTATTTATTATTTATTACTCACCTCGCACCATACGTGATCAGTGACGTCATAGACGTATCTCGTGTCGTATCCGAGCGCGCGGCACAGCAGCGTGAAGCAGTTGGCCCACTCGCCACAGCGGCCGCGCCTTGTGTTCAGCAACGTGCGAGGCTCATTGTGTCGCGGAAAATTGACGCGGTTGGGACAACGCATGCACGAGTATACCTATACGAACCGTTGACGGCCAGTTTTAAATTCTGCTTTTACGCAAACCAGTCATTAACTAAAAAAGCGCTTTAAGCCCAAAAAAAGTGTTTTATTTAATTGATTTGGTTGGTATTTAATTAGTTTGGAACATAACTTAAAATATAATATCCAATATAATTCGTCTATTATTCGTCTTTCTTGACCTTTGCTTGAACTAAAGTCTGTAATCTGAGGCCTAATATAACTCACCTCGACAGAACAGACTTCTGTCTGAGTCTGCAAAGATGTGTTGTACACAAACTTTGTTTGTCCTTTGCATTTATCGCACTCTGGTTTGTCTACCCACTTGAAAAACTTGAATTTGTACCAGTTTACTAGTTCCATCAACATCGCAATGTCAAATGGCATGTCATACGTTTTGATTACACCTAAAAGAAAAAAACAAAATAAATGGTTAATTTACTAGAAAATCCTAAGTTAACTAGTTGATATTAAAGAAAAATCACGCCTTTATTGATTAACTAAAGAAGTTTTCTTTCAATAAAAATATTTTAATTTACATTATAAAAGCAAAAATTTAGATAACAGTCATATACATTTAAAAAAGTAAGATACAGGCAGTCCTCGACTTACGTCGTTTCAAGTTAGGTCAAACAATATTTTCATACTATTCCTCAAGCATACAGCAATGATTTCGATTTCTGGCATAGGAGAATTCACTTGTCGCGAGGTCAATGTCCGTGGAGCCGGCATCCGTGGGGATGTCTCGACTTACGTCGTTTCCATTTACGTATTTACAGAACCTAACAAGCCGTAAGTACGAGGACTGCCTGTACTAGAATAGTTCTATATTTATATCAAACAATAATTTTGACCTACATTATTTATTGTAAATTGCATTTCATAATATGACAGATATTGTATTATGATGTAGTGACAATATTGTTTCTATGCTGTAATTGAATAATAAATTAATATTTAAATCTGTAGTTTATACAATTTGTTATAATTTTTGTTACAAGATTTTTATTACAGAACATGAAATAAAAAAATACCTAATCTCAAGGATTAAAATTAGATAATTACGAAAATACAAACCATTTTTTATTCGGCGTTGATGCTCTCGGAGCCTGTCTATGGCTTTGAGTTGCAGTGACACTATCGGAATTTGGTCTCTGGCAATCTGTTGCAGTTTTTCATTCTCATACTGAATCATGTTATTGAAAAGTGCTTCTATCTTTAGAAGCAATGGATTTTTCGACTTCTGTAAGTGTTAAATAATTATGAATAAAGGACATGGTAAAATTTTGTATGTGCGACTGCCCTAGCAATGTATAAATATTGTACTTAGTAATATATAATGCAAAATGCCTGAATATTTATAATTTCTATGAAATAAGGCTCAGGAACTTTTGATAAAGTCACAATCTTGAAAATTATGAGATCTCCTACGACGTTATTACCTTGCTACATTTGATAAAAGATTTTGCACATTATTTACAGAGCCTTCAACTTTGCATTTTCTTAGAATATTTCCTCCCATATATCTGACTAACACTTCACAAAAAATATTTTTAAAAGTAAAAATAAATACAAATAATTGGTATTTGTTTCTTAGGTTTTCACGCACAATTGGTTGTCGTCGGTCTGACATGAAATCTGTGAAGTTTTATTTTCTTTATTTGCAAAAATTAAAGCATCATACAGCCTTCTCTCAAGCCTGATCGGAAAAATAAAATCAATTATTTAAGGCATTCAGTGATTTGTTATAATAAAAGTAAGTGTCAAATATGTCATAGTTCTTGGGAGTTTTGAATAAATATTGTTTATTTCGATATACTAACAAATATTTTTAGTACACATTTATAGTTCATTTATTTTTGTAAAACGGAACATTTTCCTTTTGAATCAGACATGAAGTCAATTTTTACACTTTTATGTTCTTGATTATTTTACGAAAGTTGTATAAGAATTATAAACACGTAATAATTAATAAAAAGATATTATGAAGTTACGGGCTAGTGCAAAATAATTATACACGTTAAAGGCAGTTTCTTAGCCATGTCCTTGACATAATTTCTCTTACATGTTTACTAAGATCATTTATTTCAATATCTTTGGAAGCACAATATATTATTCTTGTTTCGATTTAACTACAAATTTACTACCTTATCATTATCACAAGTGTAATTAGGGTCCAGTAGTTATCAGAATGTTGTTAAATAAAAAAAAACAATATTTTAGTTATAATATACTATTTGTTTCTTAGGTTTTCACGCACATCACTCATTAAATAAAACTAGTTTTTCATGGGTTAATGCACGAAACTTTATTTATTTATTGACGTTTCGCAGCCTTTACAGGCTGCTTTGTCGGAATCAATTTTTTATTTAATTTTGTCAAGCTACCTTCGAAAGACTTTTATACGAATAAAAGTTCAAATTTTATAAGAACAAAAGTCTTTCGAAGGTAGCTTGACAAAATTAAATAAAAATTTATTCACACAAAGCAGCCTGTAAAGGCAGCAAAACGTCAATAAATAAATAAAGTTTCGTGCATTAACCCATGATAAACTATTATATTATATATATATATTCACATATTAGCTTTCCCTGATCCCATCCCCTATTCTGGGATTCTAAGCAGAATAAACAACACCACAGAATAGTTACTTGACTACATTGCAGTCACCTTTAAGGTACAAGATACTTAAACAAGTGGGAGATGATTGATTGTTACAAGCAAAATATGCTGTTCAAAATATCTTACTACAACGCTGAGAGGTGTAAGTTTCGGTTTCATAACTTTTGCAACTGATTTCACACTATTGGTGTTTAATGTGCCGCAGCAAAATTCTATCTTCCGCTCTATAGTTGCTTGTGCTATCCTCAGCTTACTCAAAGTCTGTTCTTTGGGGTATGACATTTGGTTATCAACCTAAAAGTGATAATAATACACATTTATTAGTTATTGTATCATTTCAACAATCAAATATATGCGTTTACTTGATTACTGGACCTATGATATGATAGCATAAAACATTCCGCTTTATGCCAAAACAATGACTAAAGTCTTTTTTTAAACCTAATGTTGTGCCTGCCTTCTTATTAGCAAACAAAAGTGACAATGTCAGTTTAACTCCCAGGTTTAAATTTAGGCTATGTTTTGTAATTAGGCGGATTAAGCACAAAGTGGTTGTTGTTATTCATTATTTCTTTTTATTAGTTCAACTACTAAGCATTTTAATGAAATATAAATTAATATACAACAGTAGGTAAGTAAGGTACCCTCATAATAAAGAAAAATAGGTAGTTAAGAACTTACAATTTCAAAACCTATATATTTCAGGTATTCTTGAAATACTTCTGATTTCACGTAAGTGTTTAGCAGGTCACTTTTGAATGTCCTCAATTCATAGTCGTGAGGATTCTCTAAAATAATATTTATAAGGCGCAGAAGTTCATAGAGAACTTTGGTAAAGTTTTCCGAGTCTCTTATATACTGTTCCACCAGAGCTAAACGGGCCGTGTCTTCCATTTTTTATTAATTGAATTCACACCTTGGTAATCTAATCAATGGAATTTAATTTGGGTAAAAGTGCAATTTTATTATTTATCGCCGGTGCTCTTCTGCACAGTTACTTGTCAAATTTTGATTTGTCATTTTTTTCATTTTTTTTATTAATTCTGGCTTTGGGTTTAGTAGATTTGTCATTTTTTTTTTAATTTATTCATGACCTGGATACAGAGAGTAGATTTGTCATTGTCATGCAGTGTTGTCAGATCTTTAAACCTCTGTTTCCGTAATTTCATTACCAAATTCCGTATGAAATCCGTATGGCTTATTGCCTATTTTTTTTATATCAATTCCATATATTTTTTTACCTGATTTGATTGATATCATTAAGAGCACTTGTTCCCTCCCTCCTATAATCTGGGGTCCTTTAAGGAAGGCGCGAAGAAGCATTTTTGCAGGCCGGCAAGGTAAGGATGGTTGATCAAGCAGTTTATAACTGCTGTACCAGCTATCTTCGCGTTTGGACTTTATCACCACCTAACATCAGGTGGGGTAGTCATTTGCCTACCTCGCTATAAAAAAAGAACAATTTTTGCCAGTTATGAAAAGAAGAAAAATCTTAAAAAATGTTGTTAAGTATACTATCTTTAGTAAGTCAATGGTGTCGATGTCTGGCATGATTTAACTTCAGTCTCTCGTTTTCATTCTTTATAAAGAATGACAAGGTTACACTTTTGTCAAAATTAATGAAAGTTTAGGGTTAGAGAATCATGCCAGAATTAACAACATTTCTTTTAATTATAAAATGAAAACTATTTTTAACGAATTAAGTTGTATAAAAATATTGAGTCATTTATAATCAACTCTTAGACTTTAGCATGGTTTGCCTGCTAATAACGCCTTCGTATATAATAATAAAAAATATACAAAATTAGGCTGATGATGATGATATATTTCGAATAAACAAAAAATACATTAGGCTCTTGGGGACTCCCCAGAGCCATGTTTTTATTTATTCATTTGCAATGGATACATTGTCTTTATACCTAGCTTATTAGTAAGAATATGCAACTTAATATTAGTTAATTATTTTACTACTACTTTTTACTTTAGCAGTAAAAACATACAAATAATTTTATAGGGTTTAGAAATATTAATCAACTACTGTTAGCATTTTTCTGACAATTCCGTATAAAAATCCGTATGCTATCTCATTATTAGGTTTGTGTTGAAATTCCGTATGGATACGGACAAATCTGTATATATGGCAATACTGTTGTCATGGATAATTCCTGCCTGTATCCATGGTCATGAATAAAAAAAAAGGATAATTGGACAACCTGTCATTGCCAGCTGATAAGTTTTACGTTCCTTATCCCGTTTTATTATGAAAAGTAGTGATTACTGTCCATAATTCTCAATAATGCAAAAGTGTATTAGCTGTCCTCTGATAAAGTTAGCTCTTCATGATTAAGTCGCTGAACCGATTTAGATTAAATTTGATATAGAGATAGTATGAATCCCCGGAGAGGACATAGTTATATTAATTCTGACGTGATTCTCTCAACTTAAAACTAAATTTAACATCAGTCTCTCCATTTCATTCTGTGTAGAGAATGCCAGGGGTACGCTGTTGTTAAATTTAGTTTTAATTATAGAAAATCATTCCAGAATAGACACCATTAATAGGTATTATAGGTTAAATTATGTCTCAGGAATAATTCAGTAAGGAAGTGAAGAGAGGGCTTGACTTAAATTTTCTATGGGCAACTAATTAAATTATGCAGACGAACTCTCGAGCACCTGCTAGTTAGTTATGATTCTTGATAGTAGTAAATATTTTCAATGTAGTATTAGTATCTACTATATGATAGTTGCTTGCGAAAACAATAAGAATAGGTATTCAGTTATTAGAAAAATAGTATGAGAGATGTAACGAAACGTAATAATATGGCGGGAAGAATTAAAAACTTATCTAATGTTTTACAGTTTCATATTTTTTTAAAAAGGTTGTTTATTTTAAGTAGCTTAGTTAATTACTATTTCATAGACATCATTCTAATAATCACACGTAGTTAGTGTGACAGATAGACACTTTGGTTCTGTTAAAGTTACGTTACCACCACGTTACCATGGTATTATGAAGAGAAACATTACCGAGGTTGTCCTCTTTTTTTTAGGAAGCTTCATGGATAAAAATTAATTGTTATTTAGAATAAATAATAAGCAACATGATAGGTGCAAAATTTTATTAATTTGCTAATATTAGTCCTAGCAAGACAATAAGAATTAGTGATCAACCGACATTGCATCTTAATTAGTACATACTCGTACTTACAACTTCACTTCAACTTCTAATTCAGTGTTTTTGTTAGTCTGTCGTCACTTAACTTAAAAGATTATTACAACCATGTAACAACAACAGTGTGCTAGTATTTATTTTTAAACAATCGTGTAAAATGTAAACTTCCATTCCAATATTCTATAGGCCACTTTTTTTAAGTCATTCGAATTTCGAATCGTTTGCCCAAAGGCATGCATGAAAAACCGGTTATGTTCTAGCGGAAATAGGGTATCGTTTTGCCCATAATTGGTTTATTTTCCAGACTGCCCACCGGGATCTCGCAGTTGGCTGCTCCACGCGCGGTATGTGCGCGGAGAACACACAGATTGCTTGGAGTTAGCTGATGATCTGCAACGCGCCACTCAGAACAACCACAAATATGCGTATTTCGTTAAGGTGAATTGTCTTAATTATAATTAAGACAAATAATTATTTTAGGTTTCCGTATCCGGTGAGTCCGTGTCCTGTTCTAACGGGGTGCCAGTGCCACGATCACGCCCGCATTCTCATCGGCACGCATCTTGAGGACTGCGGTCCTCAGAATGCGTGTAAGATAACCAGTGCAGAAGTATTGTCTGTGGTTTTAGTAGGTAAAGCCCCGCTTATTTCACCAAACCTTCGAGTTGGGTGAAATGGGTGTCCTCATATATCTATCCTCGTTGTAATTAACGATAGAAATGTGTCAGGTCCTAAGTGTGACAACATAACCCCAAAATTTTATTACTATCCAGATAACAATTTAAGCTTGAAACTGACTTGCAATATGTTTGAATAGAAAAGTAAAGGTGTGTGTATAAATGAAAAAAGAAAATGAAAAAATCTTTATTGGCCATCATAACAATAGCATTTTTTTTTGAGTGTGTATGCTGTTGGTCGCAGATGACCTTTACAGCGTCACCGGGTTTGGGGACGGCGAGATCCTAAGGGGACCTCAAGCCGAGAATTGTGAGTGTTCCAGGCGGATGGCGTCTCCCCACGGGGGGAGTCTCCTCTCCGTCTGTAGCCTCTAGACTACTCGAACTTGAGGGGGTCGGCTCAACTAGAGGGCGTCTCTGAGACTCGGACCTCGGCTCTAGTTAGCCATTGTCTTGGGGGATAATAGCATATGACAAAAATAAAAGTGCCACCACTAATTTTAGTGGTGGCAGTTGGTAGCCTAGCGTCAAAAAAGGGCCATAATCCAGGGCGGCGGATTGCAAGGGACGGCTGCAAGAGCTGTGAGTAGCGACAGAAGCCATTTAAAGGCATTCAAATTAAAGAAAAATAAAAAAGTAATATTTAATTAATTACTAGTTTGGAGGATGTTTGTTAGTGTCACGGGGAGTTAGTGCGTTCTAAGAGCGCTTTCATAAAGAGACAGTTTTTCGTCGGGTGTAGGCACGGCTTTAAACCGTGTCTACGTCCGGTCGTCAGTTAGGTATGGGACACTATGGTGGTTTGTTAACGACACCGGTGCAGCTACCGGTGTCGTTAACAAACCGGCACTGACTCAGTGTCCAAAACCGTTGCTCAGTGCCACTGAGCACTGAACGAACCGTGCTCATGAACATAAGCTTTCTACCCGTGTAGAAATTGTTCCGTAACAAGCGTCATAAGGTTTGTTTTGCTCTTTTTCGATTTCTTAATAACTATGTAACTAACGGTTTATCTTAGGGTTTAGTACTCATGGATGCAGGAAAGTACCAGGAGGCGTTGGAGCGATTCCACAGCTGCATCAGACTACAACCGCAAGACCCTGAACCTTTGAAGCAAGTTGCCAAGTGCCTGTAAGTGCTATTGAAGGTTATAGAAGACTATGTTTATTTAGAAGCTGAGGAACTCGTTGGCTCAGGAGGTTAGCGCATACGGCCTGCGACCGTGAAAGTTAAGCAACTCTTGCTACGGTCGGTCATTGGATGGGTGACCAAAATTATTTTTAACTGAAGTTCCTCCGTGCTTTGGAAGGCACATTAAACCGCTTGGACCCCGCTGCATTTGCAGTCGTTAGCACCCACCAATCCGCACTAGGCAGGCGTGGTGGGTCACGGCCCAGTCTCCCTATTCTATCTATAAGGAAGGCCCGTGCCCCTGTAGTAGTGACATGACTAGCCCGGTGATGATGAGGTTTATTTCGGTAGATGGTTAAGACCACGTTGATAAATAACAACGTTAACTCAGTGTAGGCTGTTCTTAACAAATACTGTAGAAAGTTGAAAAACTATTGCCATCGGTTCGCAAATCTACGGGTGGTCGGCGAGAGACCTTGGATAGAGATAAAGTGGCACAAACTCAGCAAGGACTGTTTTTTCTCTGTTTTACTTAATACTGAGTCGCCAGATTAAAAACAACGCTGGCAAAAGCCAAGAGTAACAGTTTATATAGATTATAGAGCAGGGGAGTCTGCTCTCAGTGGCAGCACCAGTTCACGAACATGACGCACATACAACGTGTTTATTTTGAACTTGGTATAAACTTACATAAATTCTTGATGGTAGGTGTGCGGTGACCTTAGACTAAATACTCATGGTACGATTTTTGCCCGCGCCCGCCGCGACTGCAGGACCGCACCTCGCATAGATCAGCCTTAATCTATTAAATACACCTATTATTCGCTCGGTATTACCTTTTCCCATACTTTTCAATAATGAAAAAAAATATCCATAATATTTTCAGGTTCCACCAAAATCGCTACCAGTTATCATTGGAAGCTTACCTGGAAGCTGATAAATTGAGTAAACACCCGGACCCTGAAATATATTGCGCTTTAGGTAACTTATTTTTATAATTTTTACAGATTATTTTATTGCTGTGTGTTTCCCATCTCAATATTTTTTACGTATACAATGGTGTCGATTCTGCCACAACAATGCTACACAAGCGCCTCTAGCGGCGGATTCACACGCGATAGACCATTCATTGAGTACGTCTGTGGTACAGCGGAGTGTGCATGCCAGCTCGGCGACTTGGCGCGGGGGGCGGAGTGGGCGCGCGCGGGGGTGCAGGCGGGGGGCGGGGAGCGCGCCGCCTCGCTGCAGGCGCGGCTGCTGCTGGCCGCGGGGGACATCGGCGCGGCACTCGCGGCCTACGATCAGGCACTCGCGTAAGTTCGGGTTAAAGAACCTTGGAAACTATCCTCATCAGCCTAGTATCGTCCCCACTGTAGGCGCGGCTGCTGCTGGCCGCGGGGGACATCGGCGCGGCACTCGCGTGAGTTTCGGTCATAGAACCTTGGGAACTATCCTTATCAGCCTAGTAGAATCCCCACTGCTGGGTTGCAGTGCGCATGCCGTTTCGCTGCAGGCGCGGTTGACATCGGCGCGGCACTCGCGGCCTACGATCAGGCACTCACGTAAGTTCGGGTCATAGAACTATCCTCCTTGGGAACTATCCTCATCAGGCTAGTATTAGCTACTGGCCGCGGGGGACATCGGGGCGGCACTCGCGGCCCACGATCAGACACTCACGAAAGTTCGGGTCATAGAACTATCCTCCTTGGGAACTATCCTCATCAGCCTAGTATTAGCTACTGGCCGCGGGGGACATCGACGCGGCACTCGCGGCCCACGATCAGGCACTCACGTAAGTTCGGGTCACAAAACTATCCTCTTTGGGAACTATCCTCATCAGCCTAGCATTAGCTAGTGGCCGCGGGGGACATCGGGGCGGCACTCGCGGCCTACGATCAGACACTCACGTAAGTTCGGGTCATAGAACTATCCTCCTTGGGAACTATCCTCATCAGCTTAGTATTAGCTACTGGCCGCGGGGGACACCGGCACGGCGCGGTGCTCACAGCCTACGACCAGGCACTCACATGATTTCTGGTCATAAGATATTGGGAACTATCATAATCAGCCTAGTTAAGCCCCTGGCATAGTGGGCGTGCCATCTTGCTGCAGGCTGGGCTGCTTCTGGCCTTGGAGGACACTTTGGCGTGGCAATCGCGGCCTAAGACCAGGCACTCGCGTGAGTTTGGAGAAGATGATAGCCAGCCTATTAACGTCCCCATTGCTGGGACACAGGCTTAAGTCTTAGTAGTACTTACTTAGTAGCAATTCGACACCAAGTGCCTATTTGACGACCTCCGTGGCCGAGTGGTTTGCACGTCGGGTTTCATGGTGTCGCCGACTCGAGAAATCCCGGGTTTGAATTCTGGTGGCGGCAGATGTTTGTGTGATGAATACGAGCATTTGTACTCCAGTCATGGATATTTAATATGTATTTCTTTATATGTGTATATACTTATATACGTACAGTATACGTATTCTATCCGTTACCCTAGCATCCCATAACACAAGCCTTATAGTGCTTACTAATTAGTGTGAGTGTTGGAAATATTTATTATTTATTTTTCGTGGGGATTGTCATCAGTCATCAGTAGGAAAGCCCAGCAGTCTCCGGATGTTGCTGCAGGCGTCTACTAGTATCCATGGATTTCCCAGTAGAGAAGTAATTTCTTTTGCAACGGCTCTACACTCCAGCAGAACAGAGGGCTCGCAGAAATATCTATATTACAAAGGGGACACACACTTTACCTACGGACTACGGATGAATTACCGTATATCTATATTTACGGGCTATACGGTCATGGTCTGTTCTGTGTTATTGTTATACTATGTATAGTAAGCCCATATTCGGGTGCACGAAAGACATTACTCGAATTCGGGCACCCGAAGCAATATTTACACTGGAATATGGCCAGTAAATACTAATAAACATCTTTTCCTTTGATATTTTTTTTTGCTCTTTTACCTTTACCTACAGCCTACAGTACTTTGTACATCTAGCATACATGATTATTTGATTATATTAATCTCAGGGCCGAATTAAAGGCAGGGCAGGTGGGGCTGTGGCCCAGGGGCCTCCACAACAGCTTAAGAAATAACCTAATTTCGATGGGTCAACAAGCATGCAAATCCTAAGTGGCCCGGGGCCTCCGCAACAGGATAAAAGATAACAAAATTTCGATGGGTTAACAAGCATACAAATCCTAAGTGGCCCGGGGCCTCCACAATCCTAAATCCGGCCCTGCAACCACGTGTAATCGCGCTATTGTGCTAGTGTTATGGTTGGAAAAGCTTTCCTACCGTAACACTGGTGTTAATATTTGGTGTGATGGTGATCGGGAATGCATGAGTAATCTTTATCGAAACAGTAGCGACGCGTGCGGAGCAGACACTTTAGCAGCCGCTGGGGCATTAAGACTAAGGGCTGGCGATCCTCGACGCGCCTTCCAGCTACTAGGGGCTGCATTAGCCCAGCAACCTACCCAGCACGCGGCAGCCCTAGCGCTGGCTGCTATGATGATGCAGCACCGCGATCTAGACGCAGCCCTGGCCAGACTGAAAGCGGCTTTAACTGCCCATCCTACTTGTGTGGCTGCTCATGCTAACTTGGGGTTAGCGCTGATGGCTAAGAAGAAGTATGTTGCGGTGAGTTGAGGTTTTCTCTGGTTAATGATTATACAGTCCACATACTGCCTCATTTTAAACACCAGGGGGCCAATTGCCTAACGGGATTGCTATATCTATCGCTTACGTTTTCATTTTGTTATTACTGACCGCCGAAAGTTTTCAAATACCTCACACTTTTTTTTTCTTTTGCATTGCTAATAACACTAGAAGTTTTTTTTAGTGATGAGAGCAAGCTAAAGTTATCCTACTAGTCTTATCAGTAATATAAATGTGAAAGTTTGTATATTTCTTACTCAATCACGCAAAAACGACTCAACGGATTTGGATGAAATTTGGCAAACGAAATTTTTTTTACATAGTTAATGGTTTATGGGTGGAAAAATTTTAGCTTCCTATAGGATTCCCAGAAAACTAAATATGCAGGGACGAAGTCGGCGATGGATGCTAGATATAACATAATAGTGGAATAGTAGAAGGTAGATAGATTTCTTCTAACTTGTACCTATCTCTCAATCGATTTAGATCTTGATTTCAGAAGCTTGAAGTTATGTGTTATTTTTTTGAAGTGAAAACTTCTTAAGCGGCTTTGTACACTTTTTTAGTATGGGTAAAAAATGATAAACTCGCGTCAGGACATGTGGCGTAAGACGAAAACAATAAAATTGGAAAGGGTGTTGGCTTTCAATATATTGGACGAAGCATAGTAATATTTTATTTTACTGTATTATAATAATAAGTCTCTGTCTAGGACGTCCAGGTGGCAGCTTTATTGCGAAGAAAATGCATTTTTTTACAATAGATGTCGCTAGGTGCGTTTAAATGTGATACATATGTAAGTTGATTTTTCTGAGAGATAAAATTTTTAATGTAATATCTACGATAGCGTAATAAATAAATATTGTATTCTACCACATAAATTATAGTACATTTATACTGATATTAAAGCAATTCGTGCAAAATTATTCCCTAACCATTCCAAAATATCAAAAATGCACAACGTTAATATTCAAGTTTTCACTTCTGTCGGCACTCCCGGAGTACAACCCATCGTTTTGTCTAGTTCGGACGTATTAGTGCTTTTGTGGGTTGATGCGAATTGTGTGTGACTAACATTCTGATTAACAACACAACATTTAATTCTGTCCGACTCTCGATCCGCCTCAGCTGCACTCCAACAGCGAGGGAGTACAGCCCCCGTTGTATCCCGCACTCATAAAATCATATCTGAACACTCTGCAGAAGGAAAGATACGATTTTTGGGTAAAAGGACACGTGGGGATAGCCGGAAATGAAGTTATTAGTTATTATATTACTTAAATCAAACTCAAACTCAAATCTTTTATTGCAACCATAATGTGTACAGTGGGTGGTAGGTACTTATATATATATGAGCATTATGGACCCCGACAGGCTTGCAATTGGTTATTATAAGAGAGGATGCGCTTCCTCAATGAACAACACTAACACTAAAATTATAATTGGATGAAGGAGATGTTTCCATATGTTTATTTTTGATTGTGATAATTGGTTTTTTATTTAGATTATTATTAATACTTCATAAATTTCCTTGGCCAGGCATTAACTTGCCTCCAGCGGGCAGCCAGTGCAGCCCCTTTAAGCTGGAGGGCGGCACATGACTTGGGGCTAGCGTTACTGGTGTGCCGCCGCCCAGCCTCCGCCTTCTGTCGACTGGCGGCAGCTGCGGCGCTGCATCCCTCACAACCATACACGGTGATACTCTCATAACTCTTGATATTATAGCCTTAGTAACTTGGCCAGGCAATCACGAATTCTATTTAGCTGGAAAGCGGCATCTGTCGGTCGACTAGCGGCAGCAGGGGTGTTGCAAACCTTGTTGCAATCTTACACGGTGATACCCTCATAACTCCTGATAATAATCTGGCCCTAGTAACTTTGCCGGCTTAACTTACTCCCTAGGTACTCTTCCCAATGAAGAGATAAAGGACAGATGTAGAATGAGAGATGAACGTAACACCCTCAGGCTGGTTTTCGAAGATCCCACCTGGGGCATTCACTACTCTTAAAGTCAGTGATAGATGTATCGTGAACTTCGGTGACGTATCCTTCTCTAAGGCATTATAAACAAAGTTACTAAACTATATGCGAATATTACGATACCGATCAATTAAGTTAAATAATGAAAGTCTACTTTGAGTACAGTCTCTGAATAACAGTCCCAATTGATTACTTTGCGTGTGAGTGTAGTTAACCTGCGAAGTTATAAAACTGAAAGATGCGTAAGGAAACTGTGATCTTTTTCCAGGTCTTGCTCATCGGTGTAGTGTTAGAGCGGTTGGGCGATAATCGCGCAGATTCCGCGTACACTCGAGCCGCAGCCTTAGCCCCTGGAGACGCCTTGATCAGGCTCAACCTGGCTGGTAGGCACGCTAGAGCTGATCGACTAATGGAAGCTGTAGAAGAAGCTGCTGCTACAGCCACCCTGCTGCAGAAAGAAGAAAAGCCAGACCCTCATGTGAGAATTTGACGCATTCGTTGTAGTCTTTATCATTAAGTATAGTATAGTATAGTCTTTGTACCAGGAGATGCCTTGATTTTGCTCAACCCGGCCGATCGTCTCCTGACACTACTGCAAAAAGAGGAGAAGTTAGACCTTCATGTGGGTGAGATGAGAATGCCATGCATTGCCTTGTTACCTTTATAACGTAAAAGTCGAAAATCAATAACATTTATTCAGTCTAGGATGTTACAAGCACTTGTGAATGTCGAAAAGCTACGCCATCGGTTCGCAAATCTACGGCGGGAGACTTTGTACTGAGAAGAATCGGCAAGAAACTCAGCAAGGGCGTAGTCTAGTCATCATCATCATCAACCTATTAATGTTCCCACTGCTGGGGCACAGGCCTTCACTATGGATCGAATAGGGAGATTAGGCTATGACCCACCACGCATGCCCAGTACGGATTGGTGGGTGCTAACGACTGCAGATGCAGCCGGGACAAACGGCTTAACGTGCCTTTTGAAGCACGGAGGAGCTTGATATAATAAATTTTTGGTCACCCCTCCAATGACCGACCACTGCGAAAGTTGCTTAACATCAACGATCGCAGCCGAACGTGCTAAGCAATTGCACCATCGAGTTCCTCTTGTAGTCTAGTATAACATTTGAATCTTTGTTAATAGTCTAATTTTATTGAAAAAAGCGTGCCATCACATACACAGTACTCGTAGAAAGGCCCGTTTTAATCGTTTCTCTCTCGTCAATCGTTCGTCTCTGTATCTGCTGTCCATACAACTGTTTATGTAACGGGTTGGTTGTCAGTGTTACTGCTTATCCTAATAATGTATAGGGTTTACAATATTCTACTTTTATCGAGGAATTTTTGCTTTCACCAACAGTTGGCGAGCATGTTGGCCACTTTACTGGCCCAACTTCGTGCCGCGGGAGTGGAGTTATCCCGATTACCAACCGACATACCGGCGGCTGACGTAGCTCTCGTTGATACTGCAGCCACACCTGAAGAAGACATGGCAGCCGATGAGGTTTAGGTGAGTTAATCTATTAGAGGTTCGCAGTAACACAAGTTAGAGATTAAGCTTGGAGAACTAGTTTATTTATTTAAGGATTACCAACAAGATATTATACACAGTGGCGGCGCTAGGCGTCGGCCACCGCGCAAAAAATTTTTACTAGTTACCTATTTATTTTTGTTTCTTCTGGCCTGGCTTAGGTAGCCGACCCCGAACAATTCGGGGAAAAAGCTAAGCAGATGATAATGACTTTTATTATTTTCGAACACGTGCTTGATGGAAGCGAGTAGTACTTTACGGGTATTCAGAATCGCCTGTCTGGCAAAACTATTTTTGTAATTAAATTTCTATGTTTGTAATTATTTTTTGTCATACAAAAAAACTCGTTTACTCATACGTTATTTTATAATTTGGCTCACTTAATTTAAAGGTTTTTTACTGCGAAGTAAAATAGGCCTCGCGAACTTGATGTCGCCGACGCACTGTGGAATATTTCGGTGTGTTTCGGATTAAAAATCTGTAACTCCGTCAATTTGAAAGATAGACTTATAAAATTTTGCTGTAATATAAAGTGATACATAAGGATTCATATAAGTAATGTTTGATGAATTGGAATTATGCGTATTTTTTTTTAATTAAAAAAGAAAAGTCACAAAATGATTTAAAATAGTATTATTAGTATTATTTATTTATTGAAATATTTTTTAGAAACATATTGTACGTCTATTTCTTAACGCTAATTACTCTATTAAGATAACTATCATATTATATTGATAATATAAAATTAAAAATGGTAAAATATTTTTAACACTACGCTAACATACAGAAACAAATCAAAATTATCGCAATATATTTTTCTTTTTTTTTGCTCAGCAAGATTGACATCTTACACCCGGTGAGCTTCAGGATCTGAAATAAGTTCATTAACCTTGAGAAGGTGTAAAGTATCTTCATCGAGCTCCTTTACATTTTTTGCATATGGTTTTCTTATGCTCGTTATATATGGATCTGAAGTGTAAAGTAGTGTATTAAACACATCTTCGTTTGTAGCTATTCGAGAGCATTTCCGAGCATGGTGTAAGCGAAATTTTTTATAGTCCTTATTGCGAGATTCTTGAGCATCTTCTGAAAGTTGCCCAATTGGTAATACCGCGAAATGGTTTATGATACTCTCTCCGTGAATTAAAATTTTGTGGACAGATGATGGCATGTAATACCAACTATATTTACTCACGTATTGCAGTTTCCAGAGCATAATTACCAAATTTCTTACTATCTACCACTATACCAGATGACAAAGCCTGCAAAATTATATATAACCGTTTAATTAAATCAATGTCAATCCCTGTGATATCAGCAGAACAGGCAGCATTGTAAAAAAATCTCCTAGCAGTATTGCCATCATTACTATTTCCCGTCCCCTGTCGTGGTTTATCGATATTTAGACCCAACTCTTCACGAAATCGCTTTTGTACTTTAGCCTTTTTGTCTTGTTTGAGTCTTTTTTTTCTTCGCTTGTAGCAGACCACGTTTGGAAAGATAGATTATATGATATGTGTAATATCATTCCCATGCAACGAATCCAGGCATGTAATGTGGATAATCCGTATTGATAAGCATTTTCATTTTCAGGCCTAGCTATTACTTTCGTTAAATCATTCATTTGTCTAGGAGTTGCTCCGCATATTGTACATGTGGAACTAGAAGGCGTATCTGTTAAAACTTGTGCCACTTTTCCGTCTATCATCGTCAAAAAAAGTTCATGTTTGACTTGGACTCCCACGCCTTCTATATTACTTATTGATGGAAGCAAAGTTTGTATTTGATTTTTTATTTCATCTACAACCGATTTAGTTTTTTCTGGCGTTTCTTTGCAAAATTCTATAGATATAGGCCGACAGAAACGAACAGATGAAGGCACTGGATTTTGCTATATGATGGCGCCTGATTCCACGTCAGTTAATTTGATAGACACAAAAGAAGTAATAAATAAATTTGCATCGGAAATAAGTTCAGACTCCTCTGGTAGTGCTTGCTTGTACTGGCTTTGTCCAGATGACCCATCACAACCCCATCTGTTATACAAAAGTAAATGTTTTTGTCCATTCTTGTAAACCTTATCTATTGATAAAATTCGAGCTACAATGTGATCCAATAGATCTTGAACTCTCAATATTTTTGCATAAGTATTTGTGATTTCGATTGTTGATGATGGTGGATAGCACCTCTGTTTCATTTCCTGTATTTTATAGTATGGTGGAAATAAAGAACAGTTTCTTTCATCTGTAACGTTCCTGAGATACAGATATTGTGCCTTTGTTAGTTCCAAGTCGATGAAGACACTTAATGCTTTTTCATCTGTGAGCCCTTTAATTATTTTTGCATCATCTAATTGATTTATAACGAAAACCTTTTTCTCTGCATCAGCCAACCTTAATTTTTCAACAACTTTTGCTTCAATTCCTTCTCCTATAGAACGCAATCCTTGAAGATATGCGCTTCGAATGTGCTCCAAACCATATTCATTTAGCAAAATGGTGTTTTTTCTTTTTTTGCTTGATTCTGAAGAGTCTCCATATGACACACACGGTCTTCCTCGTTTACCAGAAGAAGTAGACGGTGTAGAGTCTGTTGACATGTTTTCTGATGTTGGTATAGTTAACGAATATTCAGAATCCAACCAATTGGTGTTCTTTCTTAAAAAGGTATTTTTATTGCGTCCTGCTTCACTCCAGCGTTTATTAAACGAAGGGATGACATCCCTTTGAATATGGTCAATAATAAAACATATATTGACATCCGAAATTTGTTTTCCCTCCAAATATGTTGAAAGTGCCGCAGTCGTTTTTCCGCCTTCTATATAAGACACTATTAACTCACGTTTAGTACAGTTAAAAGTAGACATGTTGAATAATGAAATAACCGTACCTACTAGAGTACGTAGACGTAAAGACCACTGAAACGGTAATGGAGACATATTTTTTCACTGCCCTTTTTATATTGTTTCAGAATGTGGGAATTATATCAGATATCGATTTTCTCACGGAAAATGACATCGAAATGATAAAACCTACATAACAATATCAAATAATTAATTCATAAAATGTACCTCAAACTATTGATAATAAAAGTAAACTACGAAACCGCATTTGATAGCGATTTCCGTTCCCAGACTAATATTCGATTTTTTTACATATCTCCGAAAACCGCAAAAAGCCGCAGCTAATTTTTTTATATGTTTTAGATGAGTAACTAACCTATAATTTAACATTAAATTCAAAGCATCGGTAAACAACTCTAAATGTTAAAAGATTCGACGAAGTTGAGGAAAAAAAAATATTTCTCCATTTTTTCTTTAAATTGGTTTTTAAATTTATATTCGTATTAAAAACAATCAATTGTATTTATTTCTAACCTCTGATAAATGAGCTTTTCAAAAATATATAATACCTTATACCTTTCATTTCGAGTTTTAAAACTATTTCACGTTGAAAAACGTAAATGAAGAACTTAATATTTCCCAGCTGCCTAAACGTTTAACTTTGCTACATGAAAAAAAATATTTTGACGAAATAAAATATGAATTACGCTGCAGAATATTAAACTTCGACTTTTGAACTATTAAATTATATTCATATATTACCCAATTTCAATCAGTAATAAAAATCAATTTTGATATGCGTTTGTTCTACCATATTCCACCGTGCGACGTCCACATGTGGTCTAGCCCCGCCACTGATTATACATCAATACAAGATACAAGCATCGGTGATAATTAGGTGCTATCTTAATTAAAGGTCACCACCTCATGCATTACAAAACCAGGCATCGAATATTATTCTACATAATCTAAGTGAAATCAATTGGAAAATAACAATATAAAAATACCATACAATATATGTGTATTTTAGAGGAGATGTCATTTTGTTCAACAGGGCATTTCAAAGTTATTATAAACAATCCAGTTAATTTTTAACAGAAAAATATTTATGTTTTTTATGAAGCAATATAAGATACGAGTAGTACCTACCAGTATGTTGTTGGCACTTATCGAAATCTTATCGCTTGCAGTATTGTGTGCTTCAGTGGGTATTCATAGTAATATTTTAAATATATGCTTTTTAAATAAGTGCTCGATTTTAGTTTTCCATTTAGTACTATTCTGTAAAATGTTAATTTTTATTTTCCATGGTCTTCACTGAAATAATTATGTGCTATCCTTGATAAGGCATCAAAATGTTTTGTTTTTCTTTTTAAAAGGATTATAGTATAAAGTGTGAAATTTTCAAAAAGTTCCCTTAGGCACTTTGCGTACTAGTCGGCCACGACCACAGAACATAGAATTCTGTGTTCTGTGGCCACGACCACATACAAATGTCGCGCACACTAAAGTTGGTCACAACGACCAAATTTCGTGATTATAGGGTTCATAAGATACCCTGTTAACCCGGATACTCGATTATAAGACCGAATAAGTAGATATTAAAGTTCCCTTAGGCACTTTGCGTACTAGTCGGCCACGACCACAGAAAATAGAATTCTGTGTTCTGTGGCCACGACCACATACAAATGTCGCGCACACTAAAGTTGGTCACAACGACCAAATTTCGTGATTATAGGGTTCATAAGATACCCTGTAATCACGATGCAGTAAATTGCAACAGCTCGATAGCGCAATTAGCTCGATGGCGTTTTTGGTTTGCGATCGTGAAAGCTAAGCCTTTTTTGCGACGGCAAGTTATAGAATGGGTTACCATTTTTTTTAAATCTATTTAAGCTTTTTATTATTTATTTACAGTCCTTAGCACCTACCAATCCGCACTGTTCCCGCGTGTTGGGACATGGCTCAATATCCGTAATATTCCATCCATTCCCAACATGCAGGCCGGCAAGGTGAGGATGGCTGGTGTGGCACGTAGAACTGCTGTACCAGCTATCTTCACGTCTGGTCTTCACCTTCACTTAACATCAGGTGGGGTGGAGTCATTTGTCGGACCTATCTATAAAAAAAACCATAGGTAAGTCTTGTGCTCCAGCAGTGAGGACATTAAATAGGTTGGCGATGCTGAATGTCAACAGATCCACAGAACACAGAATTCTGTGTTCTGTGGACAGATCTATATAGGACCGCCTTCAAACTGCAACTTCTCCCTATAAAGTTACAACGTTACAGGAAGGAGTGAAAATAGGAAGAACTGTAATATTACCGCCGCACGTAATTGGCTACGCCGATGACGACCTATCAGGGTACTCGGACATTGATCCGGCGAAAAAGCTGACGACATCTCACGACGACTATTATGAATATTATTCCATCACACCCTTCCGCAAACCCTCCCCGCCATATCAGAACTCTGATGACGAAGATGAAGAAAGCAATAAAAATATCGACGAGTAAATCAAATTCGGAAAAAATAAGTACTTATGTAAATTGGATATCTAGTTCTGTACATCCCAATTTTGAACAACATATTTTTTGTAACCGTTAAAGCCTTTAAAGCAATAGCTATTACCGTTTCATGTGTCCGGATCCATCATTGCACTATTGAAAGTTACGATTCTCTTGTCACCACTATGAACATTGTGGGTTTCGTTGCTGTGGTGTTTTATTAATAAATATTTTCAAGATAATGGAAGTTTTATTTCGAAGGTAAACTTTAGGTAATAGCCTCGCTACGTTTCTTGGTCATATCGCTCTAAATTGCTCTGGAACCCCTGTTAAAACACACAAGGGGAGTGTAAAAAGAATACTTTTCCCACATGAAAAGCGGTGAGAAACTGCATCTCGCGCGTAGCATGCAAGGGTCCACTTGTTCGTTGCCTCAGGTTCTCCACACCTCTAAAAATTCAGCCCTGCTGCTATCTCTGCTTCATCATCATCATGTCAGCCGTACGACGTCGACTGCTGAGCATAGGACTCCTCTAAGGATCTCTACACCGATCGGTCCTACGTCACTCGCATTTATCGGCTTCCCGCGACCTTCATAGGATCGTCTGTCCACCTCGTAGAGGGCCTGCCCACTGAGCAGTAGCGGATTTACCAGTAGGCTCAGTAGGCTGGAGCCTAGGGCGGCAGATTTAAGGGGGCGGCAAATTTGGCCCAAAATCTACACAGAAAAACGAGTGACAAAAATTTTAATATTTTAGTAATGCACAGTATACTCAACACTCTTACGTCCGTAATCCGTATATAAAAGATTACTAAACGCACTGTAAAATATAGGTATGTACTTATGCGATCGAAAATATTCCATTAGCGTTTCAACATTAATTACAATTTAAATTTAGTAATTTTTTAAACTAACGGGGAAAAGCTGACGTAATGTGGACGATAGAACACAAATCATAAAGTTGCAATTTCAGAATAAATATAATTGTGAACTAGCGTATTGAATTTCAAAGGTCAGTAAGGGAGGCAAAAATTTAATAGCCTATTAGCGGCAAATTTGTAAATCCGCCACTGCCACTGAGCGTCATCCGATGCGTGGTCGCCATTCCAAAACCTTTCCGCTGCAACGAGCATCGGTTCTTCTTATTACGTGTCCCGCCCACTGCCACTTCAGCAGAGCAATCTCTCGAGCGATATCGGTTACTTTGGTTCTCCTACGGATTACCTCATTTCTGATTCTATCGCGTAGGGAAATACCGAGCAATGGAGAGATCCATTGCTCGCTGTGTGACCTTGAGATGGGACCCGCAGCAAAAGACCAGCTGCATTAATTTTACCCTTGATATGAGATCAATATTTACTAGTCTCCATTATATTCTATATACTTTTTTGCTTAAGTAACAGGCAGGCCTACGATTTTTTGAAAAATATTACAATCGCCCGTTATCGTGGTTAATAATATAATAATAATAATAATCATATGTTCATAACTCAACATTTTACATTTAAAGTATTAAGCTAATAAAGTCTACGGGTATTTATATAAAAATCTGAAGAAATGGACCCCTAACCCAGAAACTAGTAAAAACTGTAATTATCAGGGTTAGTGATTCCTCGGTCGACATATTGCAAAAATATATTTTTCATCCCACCACCTCGGAAAGTGTAATTTTGCGCTTCGAAATCTGGCTGGAAAATTCTATTTTATTCGCTTGAGCGGCAAAGTAGATTTGAATTTAGAACATCACATATAATGAGTACTCAATATAATTGTAAATTCAAAACGTCATTAAACCTATTTAATGTAACCTCTATGGTGCCAAATTTATGATTAGAACTTTTTAAATTGTGAAAAAATTTAAATTTGGAACCTTCTTGGTTTCTTTGTTTTATTTGCGTGCTTCGCGCCATTCTAGTTTTTCACGTTTTATTGCTTAAATATTTTGTCATTATAAATTGTTTTCTTTTTCATTTTGTCATTTCCTCGCTGAGGTGGGATGAAAAGTTACGTATTGCACTCGAGTGGAAAGATTTTTCACCTTGTGCTCGTTTGTTTCCCTCGCTGACGCTCAGGATTCTAATTTAGAATCACTCGCTGCGCTCGTGATTCAACTTTAGAATCCTTCGCTTGCTCGGTCATCCAAATCGAGCACGCGGTTAAAAAGGAACTTTCCACTCTTGTATAATAAATAACTATTAAATTTAGTGCAGGCGAATAGGTTTGGCTACAGCTGTTGAGGTGAGTAATTAACTAAACGAAACAAAACAATTTATTATCAAGTGTGAGCGTACAAGTATGAGTGAAATTATATTGGTGGTGTGTTTGTGTATGTATCATTGTGTAGATGTGTGTGTATGTATGTGGTTATAAGCAGTATTGAGTTTTAGCGTCTATTGCGTTTTTACACAATAATAAATAGACCGTACCTACAAAATGCTGATATACAATTTACATAAGCATCAAACTGCTTATAAGTACATATATTGAATGTAATAAAATATTTATTTACTTCTTTTTTATTATACTATGTGGTTACCCGTTCTTATAATATTTCTAGCGATAACATGTTATGCGTCAGTAAGTTTTTTGTTGTTATTAAATTTTTAAGGAAATTAATATGCATTTTCCTATACCCCTAGACTTAACAAACAGACATTGTAATCATATTAATGAGATGCACAATTCAAATGTTTAGGGATTATTCTGGAAATATTTGTAGTTTTTCTCAATTTTCGTTACAACTAAAGTGTAGTAACTTATAAACTATATCAGACTGAGGGTGCTTTTCCATGATAACCATGGTACCGTTAGGACGCGTGTTATACTGACAAGTTTACGTCGGGTCTAGACACCGGCGCTAACGACGGTTTGGGGTCTGTACAAACGTACAAACTGATTGTGAACAAGCTTAGTCGGCACCGGACCGGGTAGAAACCGGGTGAAAATCGTCTCGTTACCCAGCGCCCTTATTGAAGATCGCGTGAAGCTTATGATGACGCTTTGACTTATAAATGTAAAGAAAATTTTACTTAGAAAACTTTCTCTCGATCCATGGTCCACGAATTAGATTTTCTCTAGATTTGTGGCGGCGACACCTACATGCCCCACATATAACCAACGGAAGGAGGAAATAATCACTCATCTTCAAGAGATGGCGCTACCGGCGTTTCGGACGATAAGTATGGAAGCCTACATCGCGCAAGAGAAATTCGGAGGCAAACACTTAATATATTCAGTGCTCGACAAACATCAGTCTTCTCCCGTTCCGAGTGCACATCTGAGTGCACTCGTCCTCCAGCGCATTATGCGTTATTACAAACTATGCATTAGTTTAAACTAACGCAGCGCTGCATTATTGCCCTCTCGGGGGATGATCTCTTCAGATGAAGCTTGCAAGGTCCTTCTGGCCATAAGCATGATTAACGGGTGTTTTTATTCAGTAAGAGTTTGACATAACCATGAGGATTTCTTACCCGCTCCCCCGGGAGGAAACAAAAAAAAATAACATCAGTCGGCCGTGGTCCCCAAGCTACCATCACCCAGCTCGGAGAAAGATCTACCCCTTTGGCCTTCCTACAGATTTGTAAGTCTAGCAGTTTAATGTATTTATTAAAATCACACTTTGGTTTCACAGAAAGAGGAACGCTCTGCTAAACTAATCGTTTTACCGCCCATCGTGATCGGCTACGAGGACATCGACTTCAGAAATTACGACTACGATGACGCAACGAAAAAACCAAAGAAAAAACCGAAGAAAGAAAAAACGAAAGACGGAGAAATGAACTTATTAGAATAGCATCCTAGAAACATAAATATAAATAAGCTAACCAAACATCAGTTCATTGTTTTAGTTTCCAAACATAGTACCACATATAACTAACATATTGTACCTAGTTTTCATAGATAATTGTATAAATAAAAATATTTCCAACACTCACACCAATTAGCCTTGTGCCAAAGTTAGCACTGTAGGCTTGTGTTATGTGATACTAGGGTAACGGATAGAATACATAATAATATACTGATACATATATATATATATGTTTATATAGAAATACATAATAAACATCTATGACTGGAGTACTAATGCTCGTATTCATCACACAAACATCTGCCCCCACCGGGATTCGAACCCGGTACCTCTCGAGTAGGTGACGCGACACCTTGAAATCCGGCGTACAAACCACTCGGCCACGGAGGTCGTCGATATGATCTAGGCAAAGATTATGTAGGTATACAAATTATAATCAAACACGTGAAATTGGCAGGTATAGCTGAGATTTATAGAAAGAAAAATTGGTGTGGTTTTTGAAATTACGAAACTTTTAAAATCACCAATAAAAAGTCCTTTCTCAGCCGGAAAACGAACCCGGACCGCCCGAATAGTAGGGGAGCTTTCTACCATCGATGCTTGTTGATAAGGTCTAAATTTTAAAATAACACTTAAAATGTAATGCGGCATAGGATATTTAAATTAGTATTTATTATTATTATTCAAATATTGTCCTGTAAACAACGCTACGTCTTTGAAAAGTATGGCAAAGTAAAATCCAGCTTCTTTGTTAACATTTTTATCTTGTTTTCTTTGCGATGTTTTATCATCACTTGATTTGTATAAACCTGCAACGTAAATGTATTTAAAATTATTAATTTTTCGTCTAATTCACCTGTTTATAGGGCCGGAGCAGGGCCACAAGCCTCCATACCTCTTAATCCAGCCCTTCCTGGGTAGGTGTGTCAGTGGCGGACTAAGCCCGTCAGAGGCCCGGGGCGGCAAGCTGAATGAGGCCCCCAGCTTTACAAAAGTAGATTCTTATGTTTATTTCGTTAAAACCAGTCTTGTCCAATTCACCATAACTTTGTATCAGATTGTCAACTGCTACAGCCAGAGCGTCATCTGAAGCTTCTAGCATAAACTTTGTTTCAATAATTTGGAAAATATTTTTGATTTGTTTAATAGATCAATTCGAAAATTCTTGTATAAAACGGTCTATGCATTCATACATTGACCGACGTATTTCTTCTTGAATTGATAATCCAGCATCATGAGCTGATTCACCCGGTATCGTTATTTTTACCTTCACTTTTCCTGGATTCTTTGAAGTCTTGTTTTGGATTTGATCAGGGTAACGCGGAGGCATTTGGGGGCCCCCCAAGATCGGAGGCCCGGGGCGGGCCGCCCCTTCCGCCCCCCTGTTAGTCCGCCACTGAGGTGTGTACATTATTAGTTTTTATTCGCATATTTGTTACAGAATACATCTTCCTAAATAATGGGAGACTGTCCTTTTAATTATTGATTAACTATATAAGTAAGGAAGTCAACAACAATTTTGGCGAAAGTTCTACACAATCATCAAAACTTACACGTCAATACTTTAGTTTCAATTCCTTCAGAATTAATTGTCACTATGCCGTGCTGCATACATTCACAGCAATGTTCACTATTCTGTTCCTGAAATAAAGCATTCGTTATTTGTTGGTGTTTAGACTTTTCGACATAGAATGGATTACTGCTAATTGTCACTCAGTTACATAAATTGATTAAGCATCATAGCACAGCACACATATCAACTCTGAAAGGAATTGATACCGACTTGCTTTTAGGATCACCGTCGAACAGGCGCCCACCTTAATAATAATAATATTGTTTATTGTAATACACCATACAAGAAAACACAAGTAAATTAAAAAAAAAAACCACCACCACCTTACATATGCATGTAACGTAATGGAGGCCATACTCGTTAGGTTTTGCATGATGGTTTTAACCGTGCATTCATAACCGACATGCATAACCGAGTTCCATGCACCGAAAACTGAACAGTTTTATCATATACACGTAAGGGCTTGCCTGTCAGTTATGCATGTTCGGCTAAAACCATCATGCAAAACCTAATGTGTATGGCCTCCATAAGCGGATAAGCAGCTCAGCTACGGAAAGGCGACGCCTTGCGCGCCGTGCTCGGCTCGCCGCCTGCTGGTTGGCTATGGCCTATTCGCTAACTGATAATCATCAAGCTATTTAGTGATCCACTACTGCTTTATGTACTCCACTTAGATACTTATTTTGAAAAGCATCGATGGATATGCAATTTTCTCTTTAGTTACACACTGTGAATGTCAGAAAAGTAAGCGAATAGACCGGATGTTCGATCAGTCATATACAAAGTAACCAATCCGTTTTAAACCACTTAAAACAGAGTGGTGACTCTTTCTACGGACAACACGTTTGGCAAAGCAGTCCGCGGGAATAGGGCCGGGGTAGGAACGAAGAGATGTAAGCTAGGGTGCGGAGCGACGAAAGCTAGGCTACGGAAAGACGTAAGCTATGCTACGGAGAATAGTAAGCTAGACTACGGAGAGACAAATATTACTAATATCAGTTTCTTTATTATAGTTAGGTACATAAATGCTATAGACGCCATATTTCGCGATGGTTATCCGGTCCGCACTAACTACTACGTTTCCATGGCCTTCAGGCTGTGGCTTTGTGACTACGGCGGAAAGGAACTACCCCTATGGGGAAAAATCACAAGAACCATTCCCCATTTCCCAGCCTGAGGTCTTGCGACTTACAGCATGTGTTGACAGGCTTCTACTTAAGGGCGTCACCCGCTGATGGCCTAGGGGGGAGGTAGTCAAGTTCTCCAGCCGATGGTCTGGGAAAGGGGGGGGGGATTCATATTCATAAGTAAATGGTGTAAAGGTATGAACGCAGTTGGGATTGGAATCACCTGGTAAATTTATTCAAGTTTCGATGTGAAGAAAACAAAAATGTAAGCCAAATGACTACATTAAGAACTTTGCTTTACGTTTGACTAATGATTGATTGATTTTATATCTTGGCGACGCCCTTGCTTCTACTCTACCCGACAGTCTCCGCGGGAAAGGGTTGATATGTTTTTCTTCTGCGAGCTTAACATTGCAAAATTAAATGATTTTATAAGATACTCACCTGTGTGATCAGAGTTGAATTGATGCTTATATTAGGTGCACTTAATTGTGTAGTTGTAGTAAAAATCGGTAGTATAGAATCAACAGTGTCCTGAAGACCATCCGTGGTCAGCTTTTCAAACACACCTTGGAGGACATCCGATTCATTGGGAACAAGTATAACCAATTTAAATTCGCCGATAGTAGACAGTTCTATCAACTGGAAATATAAAATAGATTAATAACATGATATATATAGGAATGATGACGCGGTAAACTAAATTCTATTCAGTTTGTCCTTTATATTCTCAAAAAACCAATGGACACCTATTTTGCGGCTCGTGACGTCACTTCAAGTAAACATTTTACCTGGATGTAACTTCATGTGATATTACAAATCAATATGTCTTTGTAATGTTTTGATTACAAGTCAAAAGAAAAAATACGTGTCAAATACTTTTTGCAAATCTACCTGGTAGTTGAAGAAAAAAAGTTATTAGTCATCTACGAATGTTGTGCATATGCACGTACTAAGACAGCTATTACAAGAAGGTACAGGAGTTATGTATGCAGGATGAATAAACGATGATTACAAAATACACTTATAAGGTAAGTGTCACCAAAATATGTACCCTCGTCTCGTATTGAATGTCCTGAGTGTAGTTGAAGGAGTTGTATACCTTTGTACAGGGGAATTTTGAATTGTCACGTTTCCATACATCCTGGGAAGGAAGGAATTCATATAATTATTTACAAACTCACCCATGGGAAGTATTTACTGAACCTTGTGGAAGAGTTCTGTGTAAAACATGGAATTTCGTATTTCAATAGTAAGGTTACCACTTACCAGCGCCCTACGGAGTGATCCGAGACCAGTGCAGGACCGTAGCTAAGAGGCAATGTCCTACCTTAAAGTTCCATTGCCCTGCCTTAACCTTACCCTACCTTAAAACGAGGCGGCAGACTGCGAAGAGCCGCACGCCCCTGCGGCATAGGCACTACCTGTAATTACCGCTGCCCCATCTTAAATACTCTGGCTACAGCCCTGCTCCAGTGATACTTCTAGATACTGGATACATCCCAGCAAACTTATTGACCATCGACCATAGACAATAACCAAGAAGGTTCGTCAGGCCATGGGTGGTTGGTTGGGATTTGTACTCAGAGAACTCTAAACAGCTCTTTTAACTTACAGCAGTTTCATAAACGACAAACACACACACAGACAAGGAAGCCTGTTAGCAATTTTAAGTCTATGAATTTATCTGTGGTTTTGCTTAAGAAGTTTGTCGCTACCTAAACTAATGTAAGTCTGCCATTACCTCTAACCAAAGGGATTTATAATGAATTTATTTAACACCGTTACCGTCTAACTGTGGGCACAATTCCAACGCGTACAAAGAAATTTGGTGACTCATTTCTTTGTCGCACTATCCGTAAATGGAATGCTCTGCCCGCTCATGTGTTCCCTCCCTCTTACAACTTGGGATCCTTTAAAAGAGGCGTGAAGAAGCAACATGCAGGCCGGCAGGGTGAGGATGGCTGGTGTGGCAGTTAGAACTGCTGTATCAGCTATCTTCGCGTCTGGACTTCACCTTCACTTAACATCAGGTGGGGTGGAGTCATTTGTTGGACCTATATATAAAAAAAGAAAAATAAATAAATAAATATTTTAATGTCTTTGCCCCTAACCTTGTAAGTGTGAATGTTAACCAAAGCAAAGTCGGTGTCGGCAGGCAGTGTTCTACCAAGAACGAGATCTTGGACATTTTCTTTTACCTGAAACAGGTAGGTATATTTCAGAGAGAGAAAAAAACATTGGAATGTATATCTCTAATATGATATATTAATAAACAATGTGGCAAGAGACCCGAGGGAGTGTATCAAGAAAAAAATAAATGCTGCTACAGACGCTACGAAGTTTCGCTACGAATAAATCAGGGCGTTTTTTATGTTAAAACTGTGGCAAATAAGCGTATGGCCCGCTTGATGGTAAGCGGCCACCATAGCCTATCTACCATCATCATCATCAGCCTATTAATGTCCCCACTGCTGGGGCACAGGCCTTCCCTATGGATGGAATAGGGAGGTTGGGCCGTGACCCACCACGCGGGCCCAGTGCGGATTGGTGGGTGCTAACGACTGCAGATACAGCCGGGACCAACGGCTTAACGTGCCTTCCGAAGCACGGAGGAGCTCGAGATAGTAATTTTTGGTCACCCATCCAATGACCGACCACTGCGAAAGTTGCTTAAGTTCAACGATCGCAGCCGAACGCGCTAACCACTTGCGCCATCGAGCTCCTCAATCCCTAATCCCTATCCTAAAGCCTATCTATAGATGCTTGCGATAGTAAAAATATCATACCGTTGCATACCTTGACCCAATTCCCGACCATGTGGAGCCCTGAAACCTTACACACCAACAGAAACACACAACCACCAAAAGCTAGTGAGTGTTGTTACTGTGATCTACTGAATTCGAGCGTAAAATCTGCAATGCCTACCTCTCTTGCGTAAAAGTAAAAAAAGATGAGGTTTTCTCTTCTTCAAAGCAGGCGCAAAATTGTGTAAGTAAGAACTATAGTAGCTCGGTGACACAGGGTCTCGTCTCACTGGTACTTTGTAGGGTTCCGTAGTCCTGACAAGGAACCCTTATGGTTTCGTCATGTTCGTCTGTCCGTCCCCGGTTTTGCTTAGAGACTGTTAGCACTAGAGAGCTGTAATTATGTGGAGATATGTATATAAATTACGCCGGCAAAATGGTAGAATAAAATTTTCAAAAATATATTTTTTATGGTACATGTAACTGAGGGATGTTTTTTTTTCAGCATCTACCCCATCGTATAGGATATCGTTGAATAGCTCCTTTAAAATTACTTAGGGTTCCTAAGACTATTTCTCGATTTAGGGATCCGTTTGCGAAATATTGAACTTCTGCTTAAATATATTGTGGTTTTATGTGGTGGTGGTATTACGAAATTCCATCGAGCCGATCCTTTCAAGGCCATTATTCCTTTTGCTACACCTTAGTGTCACCGCACACGTGCCACCGACCACAACCACAAAATTTAAACATAACATTTATATGGACTCGCCACACACGGTACGCCGGTGGTCGCCACACGCTACAAATCGTCGTTCCTCTCTTCTTGTGGCCCGCACCGGCCACTTAATGCGCGGATACAAAACGTAGTCACATGTCACTGGCGCGATTCCCCACCCATCTTTCCCTTACCTTAGTCGGCCGCTGTCGCGCGCTTCAGCAACTTTAGTAGCCGCTTCTAGCTTCTCGCGGCGGCGTTTGTGGCGTGTGGCCCGTGTGCGGCGACACTTTGTGTCTCAGATGCTACTTTCTGTTTCTTCTATACCCTCACAGACACAGACCACCGTTCTCATTATTTTTAGTGTCCCATTACCGCAAAAACGGGACCCTATTACTAAGACTTCGCTGTCTGCCTGTCTCTTTTTCCGTCGTCAGGCTTTATCTCATGCAGCATGATAGTCAGACAGTTGAAATTGTCACAGATGATATATTTCTGTTGCCGTTATAACAACAAATACTAAAGGCACAATAAACATCATTTTCTTGCCGTTTTTGCTAGTTATTAATAACGGCAACAGTAGACCCTTGAAATATTCACAAAATATTTCGTTGTATATTCAAAAATTATTAAAAAAATAGATTTATTTATTTAATTAAAATTCAATATATATTGAAAGATTGAGAATTATTTGTTAAATTAAAATAAAATAAATATTTAAAGAGACTTATCTTTTGCTCCTTTTTGCTCGATATAATTATATAGTGTCTAATGTTGTATAGATAATGGTACGGAACCCTTCGTGCGTGAATCCGACTCGCACTTAGCCGGTTTTTGACCATCCTTTGACGTAGATTCAGTTAGCTCACGTTTAAATCCAACTTTAAAGACTAGACAATGACTTACACAGTTATTTATTAGATGATTCGCTGAGCCGTTTTTAAAATTAACGCGTTTTACTACTTCAACAAAGTTGGCACTGAATTTTTTGACGGATGCTGTATGAAATATTTTGCTTGTGATTTGATTTTCTGTTTTTGCTTTTAATGTTTCTGTAATCTGAAATAGTATTATTATCACTTTTAATTAGTTCTTCATCCTACGTTTAAGAAAGAAAAACTTACTCGTAGCAGGCGACAGTGGCAAATTTTCTCAATGTCGTAAGCATGTAAAATCATTTTTTTAAAAGCGAGTGAATTCATGGTCATGGTCTTGACTGTACCAACCTTTATAAACTTTTTCATAGACTTGTGGTCCTTTTTAAGAGTCGCGAGTAGTAGGTTCAGTGCAAAAGGCGAAGACACCCAACTCGCGGCCTGTCACCATGCAACTTTAATAAAAACACCATAAATTTAAAAAAAAGATTGGTTTCTAAGTAACGAAAGAATAGTACCCTTAGCACGAACCAAAATCGAATTCGAATCGAAATCGAGTCCGAAATGGCATTGTCAAATGTGTACTGATTTTTAGTTCTCGTTACGTACTTTGTGCCGCTGCTGTTCAAGTTTCCATACAAAATTTGACAGTGACATTTCAAACTATTCGAATTCGTACCCCTAGCACGAACCAATATCGAATTCGTATCGTTTGCGAGTCCGAAAAGTTCAATAGAGCAGAGTTGTGACCTGTCACGTCACACGAATAAGGTCTCCTTTATAAGTATTCTTTCAAAATTAAAAAAATTCAAAATTCCATATCGTTTATTCAATCTAGGCTGTTATAAGCACAAGTGAAAGTCGAAAAGCTACGCCATCAGTTCGCAAATCTACGGAGGGAGACCTTGTACTGAGAAGTACCGGCAAGAAACTCAGCAAGGGCTGTTTTTTTCTCCCTGTACCCCGTGCTTGTACTGGTTGCTGGTGCTATGGTGGATTGTTGACTCTACTTTATTGTCAAGGGCGTATTTTGAAATCTGCTTCGGTCCTAGGGTAAATATTCTAGTGCCTAGGGTCAGAAAGGGACGATGGCCCAGAGCGGCAGATTGAGAGGGGCGGCTGCAAGAGCTGTGAGGCAGAAGCCATATAAGGTAAGTGATACAAATAAGGCCTACCTAATTTCAAACACTCATATCATGATAATTATTCGAAGAAGGTGATAAATAAAAGCAAGGGATTATTCTTTGGTTCACAAATTTTAGGTAATTAAGAAAACATATTACAATCTATTATGAGAAATCACTTAAAAAGAGCTTATTCTAGAACCCTAGCCTTACGCCTTTTTAAAATATAGTGGCTTAACAAAGCCTGTTTGGCATTTCTGTGCGAGACGGAACGCACCAAGTCAAGGTGACTAATCTGTATGGTGCTACATGACGCGATATCAAAATCAACGCTGCCATTGGTCGCATAATATGTCCCCAACCCCTCTTCCTCGAATTATGTAACAGCATTTTTTTTAATACAATACACGCTATAAGACTTTCAAAGATATTACATCTTTTATTTAAACACTCAAAATCTCAGTCTCAAAACTCTGTACTTAAATCTTTAAATATTTATTTCTGAGTCTTTAATTAAGTGTTTCCATGGGATCCTTGAACAACACTCTAAGTAATTTTACTAAATATTTTGCTTAAATAAACAGAACAGGCAGATGTAGGTAGGCTCCATATATTATAAATCCTTTGCATTACATGGTGATAGTTCAATCATATTTGGTCGTTAGTCCGTATTCGGATGCACGAAAGACATTACTCGATTTCAGGCAGCCGAAGCAATGTTTACACTGAAATACATCCTGGAAGACGGTGACGGGTAACTAAAACAGAAACTACCCGAATATGAACGTACTCGACTCCGTCCATTTACACTTTAGTCGTTTACCCGAATTCCATTGGCAGTTGGAACTCGTAAATAATAAATAAATATTTCTAACACACACCAATTAGCCTAGCCCCAAAGTAAGGGTACTTAATTCCATTATATGTAATTGAATTTCGGGGTAATTTGTAGGGGGGGTGGAGGGGGGGCTCCCCCCGACCCCCCCGCCATAAAAGATTTTTGGCGGAAATGCAGTTTTTTTTAAAAATTCATTAAATCTGTTAAATGTAGTGGAATTTCAGGGGGATAGGTATTAGGGAAGACCCCTCAGAGGGAAGGGTAAATCCCCCTCCCCCCTCCCGGCGTTTTTTTACAGAAATGATAATTATAAAAAATTAGAGGGGTTTTAAAGGTAAAACTGTACTTCCAGGGCCTAGAGATGATATTTGATTTTTTTGTAGAAAAAATCTCTATTAACGAATTTTTCTTTCTGGCGCATCGCCGGCCGCTGCCGCGGCACGCTCGCTTCGCTCGCTCGGCTCGCGCGTTAAGGTCACAACACTAACCTAACCTAACCTAGTGTGAAGTATCACCACACAAGCGGCTCATTAGAGTCCAAAACTCGCACTACACTTCCTTCTGCTGGCGAAGGGCCAGCCCTTCAGGCGAAGGGCCAGCAGAACTCGAGGTCGAAGGCTTTGAGGATGCCATGGTAGTCAGACGACGTTAATATCAACAGGAGTACGAAAAAGCTCTCAACTGCGACGAACACAAACACTGACTGGCAGATCTCATTAATGGCGGTAAATTGTCACATTTTGACAATAGTACCAACATAATAAACTTATATTTACCATAGACAACGAGAAACATGTTATTTTTGCATAAAAAAATGGCAGCACTGATCAAAATTGCTGTCAAAATTGACTCATAACCTACAAAAATATTAATTTTCAATAATTTTTTTTTAGAGTTCTATTCGTTTCCGCCTAAAAAGATTTCGTGTACGTGTTTTTAATAGTTAACACTTTGCGTGACAAAAATTTCAGCTTGCAACTCAATTACATATAATGGAAAGCTGAGCCGTATATTTATATAGAAATACATATAAAACATCCATGACTGGAGTACAAATGCACGTATTCATCACACAAACATCTGCCCCCACCGGGATTCGAACCCGGGACCTCTAGAGTCGGCGACACCATGAAACCCGGCGTACAAACCACTCGGCCACGGAGGTCGTCATGAGCCAGTGCAGTGTTACATATCACTTCAGAGTATATTATACCTTTGATGTGTGTGTCATTGCGAAAACAATTTTGCCGACGTTTTCTTGTTTATCGATTAATTATCTTTACACATTTAAAATATTAAGATCTTCCACAAAATTTAATAGATTAATAGTTAAATACATAAATGTTCCGATCGCTTATACAGAAAGCACAGACAGTAATCAATTTCTGACAAGCGTTATCCATCACCAATAAATCTATGGATAACACCATCTGCATGGAGCATGGAGGTTAGAGAGAAGGAGAACAGTCGCTGTAGAAAATCATCATCATCATCATCATCAGCCTATTAATGTCCCCACTGCTGGGGCACAGGCCTTCCTTATAGATGGAATAGGGAGATTGGGCCATGACCCACCACGCGGGCCCAGTGCGGATTGGTGGGTGCTAACGATTGCAGATGCAACCGGGACCAACGGCTTAACGTGCCTTCCGAAGCACGGAGGAGCTGGAGATTGTAATTTTTGGTCACCCATCCAATGACCGACCACTGCGAAAGTTGCTTAAGTTCAACGATCGCAGCCGTACGCGCTAACCACTTGCGCCGTCGAGCTCCCCCGCTGTAGAAAATAGTGTCCCAGAAATATAGACAAAATAAGTGAGGCGCTGCGATCGCTAAGTACTCTCAATAAAAGCGGGCTAATTTGAAATGACCAATGCCGCGAAGAAAGTTTGTACATTATTCAACTAACTTCATGTACTTGTGCTCACAAACGGCTAATTTCACAGATACTACTTACCGACGGCAGCGCGGCTGGTAGCTGAACAATGAACTATAAATTCTACAAATTATCAGGGACAGCGGGCCAGTGCTTTAGCAGGGAGCGATCGTTCTCAGATACAGTTGATAATGTCACAGTAAACAAACGAGTGGTTATTGTGTGTATCTACTCTTTGGTTCAATATTATTGCCAATATCACAGTAAGTATATGAGGTAGTTATAATGATTGTTGCACATATGTGCCTGATATTGCCCGATAGCATCGGAGTAGTTCAACGCCGCTTCACCTTGAGTAGAATTCTTTTTATTTAATTCTCTGCTACAGTTTAAGTACTTTTATTATTATTTTCACATGTATGTAAAACTATGGTTAACAATCGAAAAGTAAAATAATTTTATTATAGATATACTATAACTTTTTACTTTTCTACTTAATTTGATATTGGGAACCATACAAAATTCCACCCTTCTTTTACCTGGTCCTGGTATATGACAAATGGCCGCTTTACGACCAGTCATAGTTGTAGCCGCAAACTTAGCCGCAGCCCAACCGATCAAGGTTGGGGCCACAGTCTCGGCTGGTCGTGGTGTATCACAAATGGCCGCTTTACGACCAGTCATAGTTGTAGCCGCAAACTTAGCCGCAGCCCAACCGATCAAGGTTGGGGCCACAGTCACGGCTGGTCGTGGTGTATCACAAATAGCCGCTTTACGACCAGTCATAGTTGTAGCCGCAAACTTAGCAGCAGCCCAACCAATCAAGGTTGCGGCCAATGCCACGGCTGGTCGTGGTGTTTGACAAATGGCCGCTTTACGACCAGTCGTAGTTGTAGCCGCAAACTTGACCGCAGCCCAACCGTCCAAGTTTGCGGCCGCGGCCACGGCCGGTCGTGGTCGTGGCTGTCTAGTGCGCGAGGCACTTAATCGGAACTGTAAAGTATGTATGTCACCTTAGAAGTTGGAACGCGCTCACGACACTCAAACAGCCGGTGGTCAGCTCGCCATCCACTCCCTTAGGTATAACCGTCCACTCACTTACGGCTAGCCGCCTTGCCTGTTTTATTCTACAAACAGATTTGAAGCCAACGGATAATTGTTCACCAGTTGACGCCTAGCCGTAAGCATGCCATAGCGGAGGCACCGTAACGCGGTGATGATCCGCTTGGGTTGCGAAAAATCCACCTGAGTTTCTTATATTAGCCAAAACCAGTTATATAAGATTGGTACTTAAGTTTTAAAGTAGGTGAACAATTTCATTTCTTGCTGCACTAATTGGAATTCAGAAAGTAAGTGGGGCGCATGAAATAAAAAACAATAAATTTTCAGTATTTTTCAATTATTTATATTGAAATTATCACCATCATAATACCAGCACTGAAGGGTGTCCACGTTTTACGTACAACACAATAAGATGTTTAAAAAATTATTACAATCGACATTAAGTAGGGTACAGTCACAGAATAAGTAAATAAAAGTACAGTACAATTAAACAGAGAAGATACCTAATAGGAAGTAAAAATATACAGCCGGTCTTTATGTGAGTTTTTCTTGTGTATTCTTGTTCAATATCGAATTATTCGGTCGCGGATATGTAAAATTGTGTTTTATTATTAGAGGGGACGAAAAAGATGATACATTCAATTAATCCCTAATAATAGTAATGTAAAGTTATTTGCTGCTTTATTTTATAGCCAATTTAAATTCTGTTTCCAAAGAAAGGTAAGATTGTAAACATTAAATGCAAAGTCGGACTTAAGCTCATACACTCTATGTGCACGGAACGCTACCTGATGGGAACATATTGGTGTCAATTCTGACACGATTCTCTACACCTAAACTTAAATCTGACAACAGTATCATTCTCTATATGGAATGAAAAGGAGAGATTGATGTTAAATTTAGTTTTAAGTTTAGAGAATCACGCCAGAATCGACACCATTGTAAGATTACATAAACGTGACCGTATTTAAAAATTACCATTTAAAATTATTTAGACAAGGTGTCACTTTGGCGCCATAATTTGGCCAGCGCAGTGTACTCATTTGCGCCTCAATGTAATAACGAAAGTAAAATTCACACTAGTTACAAACATCGAATTAAGACTTGCCTGAAGGCACTTATAGTATCATTTAGTTACTTGCTTTGTGATATAATTCGGCAAGTCATAAAAAAGAAATTGGACATAAGACGCAAAGACATGGTTATGCGAGCTTTAGTTTAGTGGTTGCGGGTAAACGCAAATTTTTTGAAAGTTTCAGACAATAGACTTTAACAAGGAATACTTGAATTGATTTAGGTTAGCCAAGTTGTCAGGCGGCAGTCCAAGCAGTGTCCTTGCCTATTCTGACTACTACGAACCTGTTAGAAATGTTAAATAGAATAAAACATCATTGGTGTAAGTATTTAACAAATCGACTACAGTAATGCATTTTACTATGGTATTTATTGCAATTTCCCTTGCGTTTTCTTGTACCCATAATCAAAAGCACTCTTAGACGATACGATAAAACATATTCAACTTTATATGTATATAAGATAATACATGTTCTGTTTTGGGTCCCGATGTGCTTTTGAGTGTAGGATATTGCAAAAATATTTAACATAGACCGGCTTCAAGAAAATTATTAAACATGAAAAATTATGTTATGCAAGTATTGTCACTTTCTCTTCTCAAACAGGTTGCTAGAGCAGAGATTGAAGTAACACGATATAATATAGCCCTTAACCACATTTGGCAATGGTTTGGACAGTCGAGCCAAGTAAAGTTTAGCATTATTAGTTTCATATTTGTTAGCTTACGCCCCGTTGCTTGATACACAGTTTAATGTGACGAGTAAAAGTAAGCATTTGTCAAAATTTTACACAATTCACTATGTATTTGATGTGACAATTGTGACTTTATATCAATCAACGCGGCATAAGTTTCACTCAGCCCATTATTGGGATTGAGAAATATAGTAAGACTTTAACTTGCTCAACTGTTCCAAGAATGAAAAATTATTGCTTGACATTTTATCAATAGTCGCATAAAAATGCACATAAAAATTAGGTACTGTACAAGCGTTAACAAATTATATGTTAACGCTTTGTAATTCATACATTTTACAAAAATTATGAAGATTTTTAGGCACTATGTCGTGGAATTTTAGTTTAACAGTCGAATTGAAATTTATGTGAAAATGGGTACATTCTATTTTATATAACAAGTTGCTGTGTTTCTAGTCAAGAATCACAAGAAATGAAAGATTGAGAAAAATATTTAAAGGAAAATGCACTTATGTACCGATTTATAGTATGAATAGTATTTTCTGTTTCTATACTATGTTATTGGTTAGGTTTGCTGTAACCATCAAAACTTTTTGTGCCAAATGGTATTTTTAACAAAAGCGGACTTTTTTTTTATATAAAATAGAATGTACCCATTCCCTTTTCTACAAAGAAAATATTAGTAAACATGTCTTTCATCAGCTTTGTGGCAATCTAATATTAATTTAGTGATTGAAATTGGTTAATTATTTATTAACTAAAAAAAATATTCAATTTATTTACATTAATATATTTATAAACAATTCTAACGTCGATTGGAGTAATTACTTTGTCATAGCATTTTTCATTATACATTATTTACTGATATTTTGACACAATACAGGGTTGGCAATATTTATTTTACAGAATTAGTTTTTCCTTAGGTCTTGTATACAGATTCATTATTAGAGGCTACACAGTAACTTGGTTGAAATATTTTATTATTATTTTTTTGTGTTTGCACAACCCTATCACACACCACAAAAAGTACAAAAGTCCCTCATTATTTTATGCCTAATTTACTATTTCATTATCATTTTTGCACTACACCTGAACACTATCCGCACATCCCATCTATTAAATAAGTAATTAAATATTAGACATCTTCTATCTTTATAAATGCACTTTTTTGTTATTTTTTTATATCTACCATTGTAATCAATTTCGCAAGATAATTTATTTGCAGTTTTGGCATCGGCTTTTAAGTAAACGTAGGTGTAAAATCATACCTCTTAAATAAAAGCTTTAAATGGATTCGTCAATATTCCAACTAAGCGGACAAAAAGTTAAAAACGGCACAAAAAAAGAACTTTTAATTTCCCGTATTATCAGCATACTTTTTGGAGCATATTGAAAACAACCAGGAGATGGCTATGAAAATAACAAGACCGTTTAAAAAAACACTAGCGCCATCTAGCTTGGACAAAACGTAAATAATGTACGTAATAACGATGGGACCAAGAAAAAAATAATTAATAGTGGACTTGTGAATTGCGTTACATTCTTGTAAATAAACGCATAAAATATTCTTTACTGATTAGAAATAAACATAATTACGAATACTCAAGAATACTGAATATAACAATGGCATTGCTTCACTCACACGTTTGGACTTATAACATATATTTTTCTTTGGTGTTGTGTCGTTTCATTACTGATTATTCCATTGCTATTGGACGCTATATAATATGAACGGCGTACTATGCCTACAACATACGACTCTGTGTTTTGTGCTAAAACTAACAAAATATAATCTGGAATACTGGCCTGGGCTAGAGCAGGCGCCATCTTTTCCAGCACATAACACAGAATCACTAAATATTAAATTACATGTTTACCTAAACTTAATAACACTAACTATATTTACACAACGCCTAATCTATTTACACAAATGGAATCATTGAGATCATTACATTTTAATAAATGACATTACGAGGTCAGCTACAATGATTAATTTCTTTTTTTTTATTTATAAAATAATACTTAATATAGACTGGCTTGGTATATTCATTCATACCACATGAGGTATTTTACCGTTACTAGGAATTTAGATTTTATTGTTTTTTGGGGCTTACTAATAATTTGTTTAATCCATTTTTTAATCCCAAACTAATCCTCAGTAAAATGCAAGAAGGTAACATGTAATAAGGCTCAATTCTTAACGATACTAAATTTCGGTTACAAAAATGCAGATTGGGGCCAATATTTTTTACTAGAACTTTCACACTGCATTTTGAAATGCTTTTTCTATGAAATAGAAATGAAAGTACTAAATAGTTTCACAGGTTAATTAATTATGCTACTATACTCATTGCTTTTTTTAATTAGTGAAAAGAGCCAAATTGTTTTTAAACGGCAGTTAGGCTAATTTCAATTGTTACTTTATCTACCTATTGATTTTGATTTTTTAATCGTATGCATCGAATTATAAAATCATATAACGCACTCCTGCAGAATGCTGGACGAAAGAAACTTAACAATTTATATTTTTTTTATCAAGCTCTTTGTGGCTACTGCCGTCAAATGCTCGCAAGTTCGCTGCTTAAATAGTGAGTACCTACATGGTTAGGGATCAACCAAATCGCTCTTTCACGAGAAACATGAGTTTCTTCTTCCCCTTGTATTTGAGTTTGATCTCCTGAAGGAGAGCCGCGAACTGGTGCGGTCCGTCGTGCGCCAAGGCGAATGTGTCTCGTGCTTTGCCTAAAACAAAAATTATTTCGCTTGTTATTTGTCATAACACACATCAAAATGGCGGAACAATAATACCAAGATGTTGTTAAGGCATATAATATTCAATTACATAGTGAAGAAATCGTAGTGATCCTTCGAGCCGGATCTGTGAGTCTAAGGCCAACACAGATATGGAGCGTGTGCCATAAATAATATGTGGTGATATTGTTATGTATTTCATTAAGTTCGCCCTCTTTACCTCCTCAGGATTATATCTTTGATAAAACTAAACTATGTCTATGCCCTTCTCGGAACTTAGTTATCTCTATACTCATCATCTTCATCAGCCTATTAATGTATACACTGCTAGGGCACAGGCCTTCCCTGTCAATGGAACAAGAAGATTGCCGTGACCCACGTGGGCCCAGTGCAGATGCAGCCGGGGCCAACGATTTAATGTACCTTCCAAAGCCCGGAGAATCTAGAGATAATAAGTTTTAAGCCACCCATCTAATGACGAACCTTTGCGAAAGTTGCTCTTTGACGATCGCAGGCCAATGCGTTAACCACTTGCATCATCGAGCTCCTCATCTCCATATACATATATCATCCATCCATATCATCACAGACAGATACACTTTCGCATTAATATATGCCTCGGGCAGCGACCTCAGGGCAATGGGCGGGTATTGTACTGTGGGTATAGTGTAGGCCTGAGGCATGCACCCAGGAAGTCCACGAAATCCGCGTAGTGGTGGGGCGAGATTTTCGCCAGGCTCGCGTGCGTAGTGGACGCGTACGCTCTCAGTGCGGCCTCCAGCAGTGGCCACAGGGGAGTGGGCGGGTATTGTACTGTGGGTATAGTCTAGGTCCGAGGTACGCACCCAGAAAATCCACGAAGTCCGCGTAGTGGCGGGCGAGATGTGAGCCAGGCGCATGTGCGCACTAGACGCGTACGCTCGTAGCGTGGCCTCCAGCATCGGCTGCAGCGAAGTGGACGGGTATTGTACTGTGGGTAAAGTGTAGGTCCGAGGCACTCACCCAGGAAGTCCACGAAGTCCGCGTAGTGGCGGGGCGAGATGTGCGCCAGGCGCGCGTGCGTAGTGGATGCGTATGCTCGTAGCGCGGCCTCAAGTAGCGGCCGCAACGGAGTAGGCGGCCGCGGTGGCGGTGGCCGTGACCGCGAGCAACCTGCTGCGGCTACGCAGCAACGGCGTAGTACGTCCGACTGAACAAAATACATAAACACTTTTTAACGTATATTATAGTGCGTACAAACTTAATAGCGGCTGTGAAGTTAACGAAAGTCGCGGTGCGGTACATGTAAAATGTAAGTTATTTTAATTTCAGTGATTCACATACGTAATAATGGGATAATCGCAATAAATTAACAACTCTATAAAAAGAGAGAAAAAGCAACCAATTTAAGACGAACTGTGGACAGTTGTCAGTCCGCTTCATCTCTCACACTTGCCTCTCCAGTTTCAATTGATAGTTGGTAGCAAAGGCGTAGTACATTTTCTAGGTCTATGAAAGCCCATTCTGATTACAGTAATAAATAACCCATTCGTCCGTATGACCCACTCGAATGCATGTATAAAACTCGTCCAAATCTATCCAGCCGCAGTGGAGTCAATAACACACAAACAAGGACTATATTATCACAATCCATCAAACCTAAGAAGAGTTCATTACATGCACACGGACGGAGAGAGAAACTCTACATAATATTTATAGATAGGATAGCGTCGCAGATTCCAAACAAAATTTCACCTTATTTACATTTCCTCCGATAGATGGCGTTATATCAAAAGACTATACTCACCAATACAGGCGCGCATTGCACGTTCTTCACTAAAAGCGGTAACATCGCTTGTAGCTCCGCCCGGCCTAGCGAGTGTGCTAACGCGACCGCCCAGTGGATGTCTGCTATCGCTGGATGGCTGTCCTGTTTATTGAAACCAAGCACACTGTTAGTTTTTTGGTATAAATAACCTCTCATTTAAAACTAAATGACGTTTTTTTCTTATAGGCAAGGCGTTTGACCACAATCTCACCTGATGGAAAGCGGTGATAAGGCCTAAGATAGTACACGCCTGCCTCAAAGATGCCTGTTCACTCCGGCCTTGAAGATGTCCAGATTGTATTGGTCCGGGAAAACAAACCTCGGCAAGGAGTTCTACAACATAAGGGTGAAAGCCCTCGCCGCGCCTGGTCCGGTAGTGGGAAGGGGGGATCAAATTATGTAATACTTTCGCACACTCTCCGTTACACACATGGACAGTTATAGAGACGTAACGCAGAAGTGGAAGAAGTATCTAAGAAGATGGCTATGAACCACTCTGATGTTAAGTGGAAGAAAAGTGTGCTGCTTATTGCCATACAGAGAGTAGGAGAAAGAGCATACTGCTCGATGATTCATGATTCCTAGCGAGATAGTCAACCGGTTACAAGATATAGGTGACGTTATTTGTGATAATGGGCGGTGTATTTCATAGTATTTAAAAAAAATGTTGATAGATGAAGCCACAGAGACTCATTTTGCACCCGTAATAGTGTTATTTGTTACTTTCCAAGACGGTTAGTGTAGTGCCATAATTTTACTTATTGTATTTTTTCCCCTTTTTTTAATGTCTGGGAAAGTCGTGACGCCTTCCTTATCACCGAAAATTGCAACGAGGATAAATGAGGACTCCTTCCCGCTCATTGCACCCAGTTCAAACGCTCGATTAAATGAGGCTCTACCCAATCAAACCACAGATAAGACACCATTCTAAAGACTAAGGAGGATTTGGGACGTGTAGGTGTTCGTGGTCGCCCCATAAGGACAGGCCACGCACAACTATCATTCTTACCTGATTGTATTGTAGTTGCACGTTTCTTATGGCCAGTGGGCTTGCTATCCCCTTTACTCCATATATCGAGCTATGGTTAGTGAAATGCCATAACTTTCTTACCTGATTGTAGAGTAGATGCAGCTTCCTTATGACCAGCGTGGCTAGTCTCGTAGCTCGAGCTAGTTGTCCACTTTGCTCCATATATCTGGCTACAGTGAACAGCTTACTGGAGGCCAATGCTACCTAGCAGTACTACAACTTTCTTATCCGTCATTCTTGCCAGATTGTGGTGTAGATGCAGGTTTCTCATGGCCAGCATGGCTAGCTTTATGGTCCAAATCTATTGTCCTAGCTGCTCCATATATCGGATAATGACGATTTGTTGACTGAAGACATTTTGTTGTACTGTGTATGATATTTCCTGGTGATGTGCCGAACTTCTTACAAGTAATTCTTACCTGGTTGTAGTGTAGATGCAGGTTCCTCATGGCCAGCGTGGCAAGCCTCATGGCTCGCGCCGGTTGACCCCTTTGCTCCATATATCTGGCTACAGCGAACAGCTGACTGGAGGCCAAAGCCCCCCTAGCAGCCGCGCCCCCTACAGCGGCACAAGCAGCTTCGAAAGCCCCCGCTGAGCCTTCGCAGACGGATAGAGCGCTTAAAGCGCAACCGGGGGGATCCTGTAATGAAAGATACATTAAATAAAAATTACTAGTAGAAAATAATGAAAAAGCCGCGCGTATCAACCCATCGAATGCCTTTAAATTCTGTTTGTTCATATAACTTTTTATTTTCAAATAATATAATTATCCATCGGTTCCCAAGTCTACGGTGGGAGATCTTGTAGGTACTGAGAAGACTAAGATTTTTTTGATTACTGGTATTCTCTTTAGAGCCTTGCCAAAGTCTCCTCTACTGATTGAGATGAAATTTTGCATAAATCATAAGAAACTGACACGACCTGTTAGGATCGCATTCTTTCGTAGGCCGCACTTTAGTTTGGATGACATTGCATTGTTAGCTAAGTGAAGTCATTTTAAATCCAATATGGCGGATGGCCCACAATGTCTCACTAGTCATATTTGGCGATGAAAGTGTTTGATGAGATCCATACGAATAAACTAAGGAATAGCTTAAATTTATCATTTAATAGCCTATTATACCTTAGCCGCGCACTGCAAGGCGAGCGTTCGTGCGCAGGCGCTGAGCTTCTCCTGCTGCTCGAAGGTGAGGCCGAGCCGCAGTGCGGTCGCGTGAGACATCGCCGCTGCCGCTACTGGGCCCGTTGCTTCCGTCGGCGTGAATAACTCGTACCTGAGGAGGAACTTGCATTTAGAAAAGAGAAGAATTTATTTATAAAGTTAAAAGAGTGGCAAGCAAACATATGGCCCAGGCGACCGCCATAGCTTATAGCCGGGTTTCTAGCAAAAGTTTTTTTTAAAACATTCAACAAAAACACATACAAACAACTTTGTTACTGAAACATGTTTCTCTACACACGCTGTCTACTGCTCACGTGACACAAAAACACAGGGCTACGTTCAAAAACTGCGATGCAACAAATGTCAAATTTGAAACGTCAGAGTGAAAATTTGTACTCGGAGTTGTAACGGAGTCCCCGATAGCGAGTTGTCAAAAAAATGTCCGATGAAGCTATACCCTGCCCGTCGACTCGAGCGGGGGGATCAGTGGACGTGTTTTCCATCGGGATCAGAAAGCAAAAACATTGTTGATGATGCAAACAAATATGTGTAGTGAAGCAAGTTTTGTGTAGACGATTTCGTTGAATGTTGAAGTTTTAATTGATTGTGTAGGGCAAAACAAGCCCTGGAGACCCGGCTTAAGACTATTGTGATACAAAAATTATAACTCGCGCCATTTTCTACCCTGATTCCATCCCCTACCCCGAGGAGTGGTGCCCTGGAACATTTCTAACCTACAGTAACAGACCAGAAGAAGATAGCGTTATTTCACTGTGGTGTTAGGCATAGGCATAGTAAGGAGGAGGTTACTTCCGATTCATATAGAGAATATTTGTTTTTTAATTCGAGTGCAAAATCCACTATGCCCTTCCCTCTTTTAAATACGTTAACAGTTAGTTTACATCAAATCTAATTATAAGAAAAATAGTCACAATAGAACGTTTTCGTGCTTCGGAAAGCACGTGCCGTTGGTTCCGTCGGCATCTGCAGTTGTAACCATCTCCAAATTTACATCGGGCCCGCGTGGTGGTTCATGGCCCTATCTGCCTATTCTATCCACAGGGAAGGCCTGTGCGCCAACAGTGGGGACATTAATAAGCTGATGATAATGATTGCGTAGAGAATAATTCGTGGTGGGTCATGACTCATACTTCCTATTTCTTCGTCAGGGAAGGCCTGTGTCCCAGCATTTGTGACATTAATAGGATTTTTTTTTTTTATTTTGTTCCACAAATAGATGATGATGATGATTGCGTAGAGAACCTCCAATAATTCTATCTTACCAATTCTGCATGATGGACAGTAGCGCGTCCAGGCCGAGCTCGGTGGCGCAAGTGACCAGCCAGCGGACCATTTCGCGCCGCCTCCAGTTCACCGACGATAGGGTCATACGTAACACCTGCAGAGGAAAAAATCTTGAACTATTTCTGTTTGTTCGGGCTGCCCCGATAAATGATAAGAATGGTATTGGTAAAAATGGTATATTTGAGAAAAATACTAAAAATAAACTATTTGCTAATGGACAATGGTATGAGTACGCGCGCTATGGTAGCTTGTTGATTGCGAACTAACTTATAAAATAATTTTGTGCAACAATGTAAAATGAGGTCAAGTTATTAAATGTGCTGATGCGGGAAAAATGCATTGTACGATACTAGCTCGTACACTGTTCTTTATAAAAGCATCGAAGGCATTTTTTTATTTTTATAACACAGAATATACGCAATATTGTTATTTTGAATGCACATTCAGCGTGTTTGAATGTCCAATTGTGACTAAAGCGCATTGTGGTCATGCACCACAATTTAAGCGGGTAACGTTTGTGCCGCGAGTGCCGTATCTTCCATTTTTATTTTAAGCTAAGCCTGTTTCTAGCGAACTATAGAATGACTCGTTGATATGAAGAATACTAGCTGTGCCCCGCGGTGTTACCCGCGGTTTATTACGGATATTTTCTGACAATAAAAGGTAGCCTATATGTTAATCATCGCTCTAGCTGTTTAGACGTGAAGAAGTAACAAACATACACACTCACAAACTTTCGCTTATATAATATAATTTTTTTTATTCGCTTTTTCATATTTAACTACCTCCGTGGTCGAGTGGTTTGACGCCGGATTTCATGGTGTCGCCGACTCGAGAGGTCCCGGGTTCGAATCCCGGTGGGGCAGATGATTGTGCAATGAATACGAGCTTTTGTACTCCAGTCATGAATGTTCAATATGTATTTCTATATAAACATACTTATATATGTACTGTATATGTATTCTATTCGTTACCCTAGTTTCCCATAACACAAGACTTACAGTGCTTACTTTGGGGCTAGGCTAATTGGTGTTAAAAAAAATGTGATTATATGTACCTGTAATCCCAGCTCAAAGGCGGCGGCGAGCAGGTCGCGGTGATGGTGCGGCGCGTCGGGCGGCGCGGCGTGCCGCAGCGCGTCCTGCGCCAGTCGGAACAATTGTGCCGCGGACCGAACGTGCCGCTGTGCCGCACCTAGCGCCGCGCGTAGGCGTGCCGGTGTACCACGTGCCGCACCTGTCAAAACACATAACTGTTAGGAAATGTTGAGAATTGTGATTGATACTGTTTTAAGGCTTTTCTAGGCGGTCGTTTTTAGAAAGGTGGAATTAAGCAACTTTCGAATTTGGTTGTAAAAAGATTGAAAGATGTATTGTGATGCTAAATGCCTGAAAGAAAGAGTTGGGTGTGTCAGAAAATTTATGAAAAATAAATGCAGTCGTGATGAGCGAGCTTTACGTAGAATCTTCCAAACAGTTCAGGATTTGGAAGGACATATAAAAGAAAATGAGTGTCGATGATAAATAAAAATGAAAGATTCTCCGTTACTTATACAGAGGACGAACCACAAAACTGATAAGTAAAAAGCTAATTAATCCTAAAGCGGACAACTAATCGATGCGTGTGTCTTGCCTCTAAGCTTCTTCTGCCATGAAAAAGAAGACAACGTGTATATAGGCTAAGATTCTTTACCTAACAATGCGCTAGCCAACGCCGCTTGCTGTTGCTCTGCATGTTGTAGCGTGTGCCACGCGCCCGCGCCGCCAGGCATCGTCGCCGGCGCGCTGCTGGCGCCGTCTAACGCGTACGCTTCTTCTACCATTGGTAACCTAAACAAGAAGAATATTCATAACTAAAATATGATGTATAATAATATATAGGACCTAAATGTGAACCTTGGAGTATCCTGGAAGTGATAATAATAATTGCAATGAAAACATGATGAATAACAATTCTCTATGTTTATTTAATACATATATGAATTTATCTCAAAAAATTTCATAGCAATTACTTAAACACTTTTGCGATTAAGGATTAGTAGTAAGTTATAAGATGAGTGCTTTCTACCCCAAGCTCCTCAGTGCGTCGTAAGACACGCAAGGCAGGCAACAACCACTATCCTTTATTCCATCTATGGGAAAGGCCTGTGCCTCATTAATATGCTGATAATGATGATGAGCTCAGCATGGATTGTTTCGGAAGTTGTCTCTGTTTATTAACTCATAGCTCACAGTCCCACGCAGTAGGCTAGGTCAGGTCGTTGCACAGCAGCGTGAGGAACAGGTACCGGGCCCGATATAATCACTGATATTAGTCGATGATTGGGCCAAGTAAGGGAGTGAAGTTGTCTCAGTGATTACTTCAAAACTCGCAGGCTGGCGCGGTAGGCCAGGTCGGGGTCGCGCGGCAGTAGCGTGAGGAACAGGTCCGATATATTCACTGATATTAATTGCTGATTGGGCCGAGTAAGGGAAGGGAGTAAAGTTGTCTCAGTGGTTACCTCATAGCTCGCAGGCCGACGCGGTAGGCCAGGTCGGGGTCGTGGGGCAGCAGCGTGAGGAACAGATATCGCGCGAAGGTATGCGCGGGCGCAGAGCGGGGATGTACGCGCGTGCCGAGACAGGAGGCGGGCCCGCCGTCCAGTAACGCGCGGGCTGAACGCGCGCATACGCCCCACGCTGCCTCGCCTTCTACGCGTTGAAGTTGCGCTATTAGCCTTTCTTCCTGCAAAGAAAATTGTGTAGTTGAACCCCCTTTTTCAATAGCCTGATCTCACTACATATCCCATTTCCCACAAATTTATCCCTACTTCTAGTATTAAATGATACAGATGTATATAAGTGTATTGTTTCCTTCCTTATTTTAAATAATAATCAACAATAAAGTTATACCTACTTAGATATTTTGATTTAATTATTTGCAAATTTTGTATAATATGTATATTCTATGTAAATTACATTCTTCCTACTTCCCTGATCCTTTCTCTTTAGTATTCCGTATTCTTTTGCTTTAAAATCCTTCCGTTTCCCTAATATTTGTTATTGTCTGTGGCTAAACAAATCGTGCAAAGCCAAGAAAACAGAGAAAAAAAACGTGTAGTTCCCAGTGTAAACAGATGTTCTCAACACATTTGCTAAAATGATGCATTTACGGAGGTTGTATACGTTGTTCGAAAGTTCAAAATTGCGCACCATACAACAGAGCGTGCGGTAAAATTTGTAATCGGTGTATGGCACCGTGTGTATCCTTTTACAGTTTTTTTTTATTTCCATCGAACCTCCTTTGAAGACTTTTTGGTCTGTAAGTCTGTCTCACTTTAATACAAAAAAAGAAGCCGAAAGATGTAGTTTTAATATTCACCACTAGCACGTGACGCCATGTGGAAATGCGCGCCATATTTTGTCTTAAAAAAAGTTTGCTTCATTACTGCTATAATTAGAAGAATGCCTCTTATATTATTTTAATGTATCAGCTCACCTGCTTACAATACCGCTCTTGCGCGTACAGACCGCTGGGCAGCATTCTCTGCATGCCGAGACCCAGTAGCGCCGCTTCGAGTGCCAACGCGAGGTAAGTCTCTTCAGGGTTTTTACTCCCAGCCACTGGTACGTGCTGATATCTGTTTATTGAAATGCAAATAATATTAATTTCAAGTAGTTTAAAATGAAAATTAATTTCCGTAGATGGGTGGAATTAATTATCTCTGGCTTCTCAGTGCTTGGGAAGGCACGTTAAACCATTGGTTTCACCTATAGGCGCAAAAATTTACCCCACCCCATCTGATGTTAAGTGTAAGTGGAGTCTAGTCGCGAAGATAGATGATGCAGCAGACAATCTGCCACTCCAGCCATCCTCACCTTGCCAGCCTGAACCCAATATCCTACCCGCGGAGTCCTAAAACCCTACTCACCAGCAGAAACACAACACCTTCAAAAGGCAGGGCTATGTTACTATGGTCTACTGTAAGATGAAGATTGCTTCCCCAGACGGGCGCTCCAATTCAAGCGGAAAGTCCGAAAAAAAAGAATTTCGCTCCTATGGGTCCTAGCTCAATCTCCTTATACCATCCATAGGGAGGGCCTGTACCGCAGCAGTGAGGACATTAATAGACTGATGATGATGATGAGATATAGCGCTTTACATCATTGATCGAGGCTATGGTCATAATCACTTAACTGTCTAGCTATCGATCTTCACGTGATATCGGCAACAATCATGTTTACTTAAGTATATCCAGATTAATAACAGGCGAGCGAGTAAAGAAGCATCTACCTCGGTGGCAGGCCAGTGTTTGGCAGGAGCCATAGATTGGCGGTGTCCAGACGAGATGAGGGGCGTTGGTCATACACCATATAGCCTCGAGAGTCCAGCCCGTCTATCATCGGCTGTCTATACCGAAACAGTGATTATAGAAGCGCCTACCTTGGTGGCAGACCGGTATTTGGTTCTTCGTCCAAATAAGCGGTGTGCAGACGAGGCGAGGCACGCTGGTCGTCGGGCGCGAGGCACGCGTCCGCGAGGCACTCGTACACGCACCATATCGCCTCGAGAGTCCAGCCCGTCCAGCATCGGCTGTCTGTAAAAGCGGGAATTCATTTAATAATTTGCTTCTCTAATCTCTTTGCTTAGTGTAGTGTGATAAAAGTTCTTGTGAACGTCAAATGCTATGCCATTGGCTTTCTGGTAGTCTATTATTGATGCCGATGCACCGCTGCGAGTGCGACACTGCGCAGATGGTCCCACTGGTGAGGCAAACGTCGTTGTCCATACGCGCGCATACCATCGCAAGCTAGCGAGACAAACGCTAGCTATTGTCTCTGTAATATCAATATAGTATACTTAATCCTCTCGATACAGCGCTGCAAGTGCGACAGAGCGTAGGTGGCGCCACTGGTGAGGCAGAATGCAACATCCATATACGCGTACACTAGTGACAGCTAGCGAAGCAGACGCTAGCTATTGTCTCTTTAACAACAATATAGTATAGACTCACCCCTCCCGATGCACCGCTGCGAGTGCGACAGCGCACAGGTGGCGCCACTGGTGAGGCAGACCCCAGAATCCATATGAGCGCATACTAGCGACAGTTTGACGCGATCTGCGCACGCACCGCCGCACGACTCTGGCCCTGAGCACACGGGGCTCCCTCCGCCCCCTCCCCCGCCAGTACCCCCGCTGGATGATGCCTCCCCCGCGCCTACTTCGTGCCACCGATGTTGGGCTACTTCCTACAAACAAAGTAACGATGGTTAGACCTTGACTAGATGAGTCGATATAGTTTCCACTTTCGGTGCAAATATGGCGTTTCACCCATGTTTTCAAGTTAGAATTTTGATTTTGAGCTCATTACCAATTTTGCTCCTAGACTGTTCTTATTTAGTTTCATGATGGCGCAATAACATAGGAATCGCAAGTGTTTTTTAAGGCACGTTCAGCCGTTGGTCCCGACTGCATCTTCAGTCGTTAGCACTCACCTATACAAACTGGGCCCACGTGCTGGGTCATGGCCATCCATTCCATCCAAAGGGAAGGCCAGTGCCTCAGCAGTGGGGACATTGATAGGCTGATGACGATGATGAGTTATACGGGAGGACTCCTTCTTGCTCATTACCAACCAGGTCACGGTTAAAGGGAAATGAGTAGGTCACTCATTAAAACCACGGTAAAATTCATACCTGTCGATGTCGCATTGCCCGCGCGGCGCTGACTGCCAGTCTCAGAGCCGCGGGCGCCCGCCCGTGTGCCCTGAGGGCTTCTATTCGAGCTCCCACCACCGGCAAGTGTTCTGTCAAACAAAAAACAACCCTATTATGATCATGTTAGAACGAAGAAAAGCTAACGATTGTTTGTTTTTAGGTCTTACACCTGTCTGCCAAATGGGTAATATTTACGTCTTCCCTTGTACGGAAATAGGTGGACACCTGAATGTTTCTTAGAATGCGTGTCTAGCTGTTGCAATAAATGACAAATAATTAAATAAAGTTCAAGCCCGAAATCCCGGCTGCATCTGCACTTTTTAGCACCCACCACACTGAGCAATGGGCCCGCGTGCTAGGATCATGGCCCATTTTCTATCCATAAAGAAAAACAGTGCCCCAGCAGTGGAGACATTAATAGGTTGATGATAGTATTTTCATATGTCCGCACCGTTCCACAGCGGCTATCCAAAGTCATAAGGGGTAACACTGGGGCGTGACCGCACCCGTGCTGGCAAGTATGATCCTGACCAGGTCTCACTATTCCCTCCATAGGAAAAGTAGTAGGAAGTGCTCTAGGAGTTGGGAGATTAATAATATTTCCAACATTCATACCAATTAGCCTAGCCCTAAAGTAAGCGCTGTAGGCTTGTGTTATGGGACACTAGGTTAACGGATAGAATACTGATACATATAATTATAAGTATATTATATAAGAATATGAATTAAACATACTATACATATATAAGACTGGAGTACAAATGATCGTATTTAGCACACAAACATCTGCCCAAGGATTCGAACTCGGAACCTCTCAAGTAAGTGACGCCTCACTCCTTGATACCTCACATACATACCACTCGGCCACGGAGGTCTAGAGTATAGGCAGATGAATATGATAATATTTTTATGTCCTTACCATGCCACAGCTGCTGTTCCAGAAGCTTGTCAGGTTCGTCCAAAGTTCAATTGTAGTTGGTCATGGCTCATTCTTTCTATGCCCTCTACAAAGTATTCTTCCTATGGCTTCCATAGGAAAGGTTTGTGCCCCAGCATTGCAGACATTTATAAGCTGATAATGACTTAGAGCTTGGTAAATGCCTCAAGTGTGATGATATTTTCGTATGTCCTTACCGTGCCACAGTGGCTGTCTCAGGTCGTTGAACTTGGGGTTAGGCTGGGACATGACGGCGTCCGCGCTGGCGGCGAACTTGATCCTAGCCCATTTACAGTATGCCATCCATAGGGATGGCCTGTGTCCCAGCAGTGGAGACAACTATTAGCTGATGATGACTTAGAGCTTGGTAAATGCCTCAGAAATGATGATATTTTTGTATGCCTTACCGTGCCATAGTGGTTGTCTCAGGTCGTTGAATTTGGGGTAAGGCTGGGACATGACGGCATCCGCGCTGGAGAACTTGATCCTAGCTCATTCACAGTATGCCATCCATAGGGATGGCCTGTGCTCCAGCCATAGAGACAACTATTTGCTGATGATGAATTAGACCTTGGTAAATGCCTATATTTTCGTATGCCTTACCATGCCATAGTGGTTGTCCCAGGTCGTTGAATTTGGGGTAAGGCTGGGGAGTGACGGCGCCAGCGCTGGCTAACTTGCCGGGCTTCTCCGGGTCGCAGTACTCGTCGCTGCTCAGGATGTTCTTTAGGTGTTCGTTCTCCCACGAGATATCGACTGCGTCCAATGCTCTATAATAGGTACACTCATATGTAAAACTTTCCATCTGTCATACCTATCAATGAACAAAAATAGTTATTACTTTATATTATAAATGCTGGTATACATAGACACAATGATAATCTTAGACACTGTTATGAGCATGTCAATGAAATTGAACTCGATGTGAATTATCTTCTGCAGATACTACTAGTTAACAATAAGTAAGCAATAGTTGGAGCTCGATACCATCATGGTTCTATGTGCGATCGCGTAAGTTAAGCAACTTTCTTATGGTCGGCCAAACGATGGGTGTTGGGTGGATCTTATTAATTTAAGTTCTTCCGTGCTTTCCGTTCACTCCGCACTGGGCCCGCGTAGTAGATTATAGCCCAATCTCCCTCTTCGATCCATAGGGAGGCCCGTGGCCCCAAAAGTGGGGACATTTTTAGGGTTCCGTAGTCCTGACAAGGAACCCTTATAGTTTCGTCATGTCAGTCTGTCTGCCCGTCCGAGGTTTTGCTTGGATACTGTTGGCATTAGAGAACTGTAAGTTTGCAGAGGTATGTGTATTTATCACGCTTATAAAGTGTTAAATATAATATTAAAAAAAATAGGGTAGCTTGTAGACGAGTAGTCGAGGAGTAGACGAGGTAGACGATGAAAAAAGTGTTTTTTTTTCATCGTCTACCTCGTCGTGTGAGGTATCGTGGATAAGAACATTTTAAATTATTTAGGGATTGCTACGACTATTTTTCGATTTAATCCGGAATCCGTTTGCGGAATATTAAACTTTAAAGTGCCAAAATTTGTTCTAAAATGGCGCCCTCCCCCTCTAAAAGCTAAAGTATTGGCTTGAAAAATCGGAAAATATTCAAGAACTTTAAGGAAAATTATAACGGTTAAGATGGATCAGTTAATTTAAGAGTAAACGTCGCACAACTTATGAATCAGTAATTTTCTTACTCTAATAATATTCCTTAGAAGAAAACATGTTTTCTTTAGTTTGTTTTTAAATTTTAGGTTTTACGCATTTTAAACAAGCTTCTCTTCATCTTAGTCTCTTTTAGACTCAGATGAAGTAATTGTTTGTTTAGACGATGTTATGAAAAAAAACGACTATTTAAATAACCCATTATAAAATATCATTAGGTCCACAAAGCTGTCGCTAGATGATGCTGTACCAATGGCTTTTGAATCGCGTTGAACTATTTAAAAGTTATCATTCAAAGTCGTTTTCTGGTGATAATATTTTTTGGATGTAAACGGTTATTATGAACATGAACTCAATTATGTTCTTATTTTTTTAAGCATTAAACTGCTAGATGTTTAAATCTAAAGAAAAGTTTTACTAGAAAAAAATCCACGCGGACCAGGCAGCGGACGGGACTTCAACCCGCAGCCTTCGCAATCCGGGCGAATGTACTGACCAATTATGCTACCAGGGCCCTGATGGCCGCGTCGAAATTTTCCTAGCCTTAAGCTGCAAGGCAGCGCCATCTCTTCGCATTATAGGTAACCCACAATGAACTCAATTAATTATAGTCAACAACTCAACAAAATACAGAATCCTCCTAAAATATATTATGGTAACGACGGGCAGCTACGGAACCCTACACTGCGCGTGGCACGAAACACACTTGGCCGGTTTTTATGATGCTGATAAGCTAAATAAAGATCGTAAATTTTTGAATTTTAAATTAATTCTTAAGTTAAACAGTAATAATTTAAAATGCAATGCTTACTTGTGGAAAACAGTACGCGGTGTCAGTAGTGTCGCAGGCCTTTGATTATGCAGTCTCAATCTTTTACTAGCTCTCCTATATTCACGTTCATAACTGAAAATAAAAAAGGATTAACATAAATTCAATAAACACATCTTTCATCGTCACACGGTCATTATCTTTTGAAATAAACAATTTATTTTTTTACCGTTTACTTACTTATTAGGTCTCGAATCCTCATCAGAACTTTCTGAATGTGAATTTATGTCTCTCCTTTGTCGCTCCCTATGCCTTTCCCTGTAACAACAGTACCTACTTTAACAAAATATCCATTTCATGTTAGTTGAAAATCTAAAGTTATCTTAAAAGGTTTTTATTTTGGCATACACTTATTTTCTCCTAATGATCCCTAATAATTTGTGAAATTCTAATTTAACCACTAGACAATATTGCGAGAGATATATCCAATCTTTCTTGTTCAGTTACCTACCTGTCTCTTTCTTCTCTCTCGCGCAGTCTTTCTCTATCTCTCTCCTCCCTATCCCTGTGGCGTTCTCTATCCCTGTCTCTGTGGTCTCTGTCGCGATCTCTTTCGCTTCTCTCCCTTTCTCTTGCGTACTGAAATCATAAAATAACATAAATTACCAAATATAAGCTTAAAATAAAATCAGATTGGCTATATTTTTTAAACTTTTTAGTAATTAACGGGATTGCTTTTATAGGTAGTTACTCCGTGACGAAAGATAGCGACTTACAAAAAAGAAGGAAACAATGTTAGCGATCCCGTTAATTATAATAAATTGGCACAACCCCATCATTCATTTGGATTGACCTTTTTAAGGCGTTCGTTTTTTTTTGCATAGACTATTGTTTTTTGGATTATCCTGTAATAGGCCAACTCACCAGTGGAAATGATCTGTAGTCCGGGTCTTCAGTGGGGCACACTTCCACGGCGGACCATTTCTCTAGCAAATGCCGCCACTGCAGCCGATGGTGCTTATTGCTGCCAGGATCCAGCACTATGCTGACCCAGAGTGCTCCCAGCTGTTCCCACAGTTGCCTACATTTCTCAGTCATGGGCGTGTTCTGGTTCCTCCACAAAAGGAGTCTAGGGTCTGATAGGAACTGTTCTGTCATCAGCATCAGCATCCTTGGACCGTTCGAGTCTTGCGCCCTAAGCATTTCTCGTACCTATAAATATGGATTTTCTCGAATTAATGAGTATTACATACGGCAAGGGCAAGAAAATCTAAAATAAAGTTAAAGTTTACACATTTACCTTAGAAAATAAAGAGTTAAGCTGCTTATTTGCATTGTAATAAGTGCCTTGTAAAAGATATGCTCGCACTTGTTCGCAGACCTGAAAGAACAAAAAAAAATTAAATAACATCCGGTAACATTAGCTAGTACGTTGATGTAAATTGTTTTAGTTTTGATTAACATAGTCTTTTTTAAAACACGAACATCGAAAATTTGATGAAACTCTAACGCCTTATTTTATATCGTGGATTAAAATCTTTGTTTCAACCTATTGTCGTCTCAGTGTTCTTTTAAGCAAAGAAAAGTGACAGCATCAGTTTTTGTCCAGGTTTAACATAAGTCTACGTTTAATAAGAAAGCGGTAAAAGTTTTGCCCCATGTTTTAATTGTATTAGTCTTATTGTTTTAGATGGCGTGACCATAATGGTTATACTTGATATTACTTTGATGTTTAAGATACGGATTGGTGCCACTTGAATACATAATGATGCACTTGCCTGCTGCTCATCCAAGTGCCAAGCATGATGTGCATCAGGCGGTGGCCCAGCAGTGGGGTCAGGCGCTCCGCATATCCTGTTGATCGCTGACCTGGCCTGCAGGACCTCGTCTGCTAACCGCTGCGCAGTCGGCAGCACCTCTGTATGGTGCTCCGCTATCAGATATTGCACGAACTTCTGTAGCTGCTGCCTGTCCATTTGCAACAACGTCTCTGGAAACGTAAATCACAATTTAGATAATATAGCTACTAGTGATGGCAAAGTCCATTTGGTCAATCAGACGGATTTTTATGTTCATCGCAAATTGTGACTCACAATTGAAGTGCCAATTAAACATTTAAAAGGAAGCTCTATCACTCATTCTTGTACGATGTAGATGCAGTTTCAGTAGATTTTAGAGCTGATAATGGTTGACTTGGTTCTGATATAAATGAAGTTTCCACTAAGAGTATCAATACAGTTAAATAAATTAACATTATTCATAATACCAAAATAGTTTAAATGAAACACTATAATACCGGCCATACACACTACGAGAAATCGTTACGATTAGACTGTACAGTCCGAACGGTACCGATAAATCGTAGCGTGTATGTTATAAAACTGCACAGTTTCCTATACTAAACGATATCGTATAAACTGTTCCGTTCGAACTGTACAGTCTGATCGTAACGATTTCTCGTAGTGTGTATGGCCGATATAAGTCAGGCAATTGTTCTGAATTATTTACTAGCGTCACGTGACGCTTTGAAATCAATTTATGATATGAAGTTTGACTTGACAACTATATACTATACTTACCTAATATCACATTGTTATATCATATTAGACACACTAATGACACAAATATTGTAGATTGTTTTAAATGATATGATAGCCTTAATCCAAATAATGGACTCATCATAATATATGAACTACCTACATACTATATTGTCTGTATGAGAATAGCTGAAAAAGAGCTCAGTGGAGTGCTATGAGAAAGGACTTATCCAGCAGTAAGCAATTATAGGCTGATGATGATAATATCATACTACTAGTAGAATAAACTTACCTGATATAGGCACTCGTAACCGTACAGAATCAGCATTCCTGATCCGGTACAACGCCAGCGCGACGACATGTTGGCACCAGAAGATGTCCCGCGCCTCACAACTGCACGTCACACCTGTGATTTTACACCTGTAGACAAAAGACAATCATTGTCACCTTTGAAAAAATAACACTCACACCGAAGTTCTTATTGAAATTTAAAACGAAATCATGTTTTTGCTTCATTCAATATCTGTTTGACTTTAAACCATTAACGGAAATGGAATGTGTTATCAACATGATTAAGCTAAATATTGGAAATAAATACAACTAGCAAAATGCTTCCAGGCGTAGTTGTAAAGGTTTATCTACGCTTTTTTCAGGTTTCCGTACCAGAAGGATCAAAACGATCGCTACTACTAAATGCCTGCTCATATGACGCGATTCACACGCGTTTTAGTGTTCATTGATCCGTGTTCTGAATGGATTGTTCTTACTCAGGTTTAAGATCGCGCAATGCAGTAAGAAACTCATGTGAATTACGCACGTGAACAGTATCCGTCCAATGAATAAGTAATGTGTTTTCTCATGCATGAATCGTAAAAGATAGGTAACCGACAGTAATTATTTTTACAGAACATGCGCTTATTAATTACTTTGCTACTACTATATTAAAAACTAACTAAACTTTTAAGTTGAAGAGTGACAATTTGTTGAAACAAAAACCGTAATTTTTCTAAGTTATTTGCTTGCTATAATGTTAAATCTTGTCAATGCAAATGGTACCTACATAAACCTTCGTGTATAAGTTCTTCTTGCATTTGGTCTGTATTATAAAAAAAAGTCTAAGCAAATGTCCCCACTCTGCAATATGTAAAGGAAATCCAGACGCTTAGATAGATGGTGCTGTAGGTAAAACACGTGTTGTATTAAAGATTTTTTTTTCCTTTCCTGCTTGCAATGATATATATCTAAGCATTCAAAATTTTCTTAAGACATGTCAATTACTAAAATCACAAGTCTATCATTTTTAAGGATTTTAAAAATCTATATAGTTTTCTAAAAGAATAACATGATTTGTAACATCAACTTTGTAATGTATAAATTAACGCTTTAATAAAAAATTGCTCAGTTTATATTTGTTTAATTGACCTTTTACAACCCTAAGGCTAGGTGGAAGTCATTAATTAATGAAATACATAATCTTTACACTCTAAACTATCCATCTATTATAAAAGTGACAAAGTTCCGTCGCACAATAGACTGTGGCCTTTTGAATATTGAAAGGGACCTTTTTACACAATCGCTTATTAACAATAGATTCCACAAGTTTTGTTTCTTCTATAAGGGCAATTTGTACCTGCCAATTTTTATTGAAAAATTGTTTAGCTGCTGATTTATTTCAGGCGAGGAAAGTTATTGCGTTTGGAATTGCGGCAAATAACAAGGTTACTTTGTACTCAATAAAAAGTCAATGGCAGTTTAATGGAAAAGATGGATCTGGTGCAATAGGAACTGTATGCCCACTAACTTAAGGCGTATTTTACTATGCCAACGTTAATTGTATCAAAGAGTAATGGATATTGGAACGTTTCATGTCCATTGCAACAAAAACGGACCTCATTTAACAATTTGCGTTACTAATTTTCGACTGTCGTTTTATTGTGTCCTTATTTCAGCACCGATGAAATAAGAAATTGCAATAAGATACGGACTATGATGATTTTAGGTTTAGGTATAATGTAAGTACAAGGACAAAATTCAGGACTATAAGAATGTGTTTCAAATCACTTTATTTTAACGAAATTTTAAATTAAGAAAGAAAACCGCTATAGTGTAAATCGCGCTCTTTAAAAAAACGATTGACAGGCAAATTGCTATGGATTAGGTATTGAAGGTACAGTGAAGAACTAACCTGTCGAAGGAGACAGTGACTCTGTACAATCGCTCTGGCTCTGAGCAAGGGGGCACGGCTGCTGGGGCCCGGACGACACCGCTCAAGTGAAATCCTGCAAAGGAAGAGAAAAAATACGTAATAAACAATCTTAGTTTAATTTTTATTATATAAATAAACAAACGAATTTGAAATACGCTAATGTGTCCGATAAAAATGAATAAAACAATCCTAGAACCCCACCGCAGTGCACATTAAAATTTTATTTAAGTCGATCTGTTTAGGTATTGTCCATATTAACACAGTCTGAAGAAATATAATACGGAGTAAATAGATTATGTAAGTATATATGTTTTAGGTTGCTATTTAAACATAGTTAAAAAGTTCGGTATTGACGAACTCCTCACGTTGGGAAATATAATAAACAAAGACAGGTATGATGGACGTTTGCGTCTGTGTCAACGACCGACTAAAGCTGCACGTACGTATGTACAGTCACGAAAAGGGAACGCACACAAGATGTGACTTCGAATCGGCCCTAGCGAAAGATAATACGGCAGATAACGAATACAAAAACGCGGTATGATTAATGTTTTAGACTTATACGGAATACAGCAACGCAACGTATAACTTGGTCCTGAGTCCTGATGCTGGCCGCATTCTTTTGTTTCTATTACTTCTCTAAATTACACGGCAAAGTTAGAGGACCTTCGTACAACTAAACAATACCTTTCCGTGAATGTACTTGGATAACAATTGTGTAATTTTTATGATGTCGTTCGTATATGCCAGGCATTCTCATTCAAGCATATAAAAAAGATCCTTTGTGAACGTTAACAACAACAGCGGACCAACACCGTAGCCCCGTAGAAGTACGACTGAATCTGCTTACAACGGAATTGAATTGTAACCGCAAGCCGACAGAAGTTGTACACATAATTCTAGTGGAAGCCACCACAAAAGCGCTTCATAGATACTTAGATTGCGTAGATATTAAACTTTGCCCCACAGTAAGTATTAACGAATGATCAATAACACCGAATGCTATAGTAAAATCAGCTAGAAGTTTTGATACTACGCAAGAATCATACTGAATAACAAAAACTTCATGGTTGTAATTAATTGGTGTTTTTTTTACCATTTTCATAACTTAGTAGGTAACAAAAGTGACTTTTGAAACGCAAGTGTATATATGTATTAACCAGGCTTTGCGGTACTATTTTCCTATCGAAGAACCAGATTTATTTCATTGGTTTACCTACTGTACGCCAATTTAAAACCACTAAGTACTTTCAACATCCTCAGTTAAACATAGCATTCGAAATTCTAAACATTCTATTTTCGATTAATGGTTTAAGGGGCAATAATATTTTGTAAATATTATGCTAACGTAGTTATGTTTACAAAATATGAAATGGTAATTAAAGATTCTAACGACGAATACATTTAGAAGTTTAAGGGCCACGGAAATCTGAATTAAAAATAATAATCATATAACAAATATCTAAAATTATGCTAAGAATTATTGCTGCGCAGGATGAGTTTCTGCCACTGCCAATTAATCTTTCAATAATTAATTATAATAACGCTTTGCTGACTTCTACGCATGACATTCATACCATATCAATTTAGAATTCAGTGACTCGATGAAAACAAAGTACACTTCTCACGAACAGGAAATGGAAATAAGCATAAATGGTACATTTGTACCATGGTTCGTGCGCATTCGATCACGCAAGCACAATGCATCGCACCCTATTTCTGTATTCGAATTTCGAACGGTTAACGATTCGAATAATCGTCAGGCGGCGAACGGAAACGCATCGAGTTCCAAATTCGATCCAACATTCGTCAGGCTCGGAGTCGGAGCAGTTTTTTTTTACTTTTATAAGGTGGCTGCAGGTTTAATTAGAAGGGTGAGTAACACATACAATGTTGTATGTTAAAATTATTTCACTTTCAATTAAAAAAAAATCGTGCAACACTATCGAAATACCATTTTAACAGGATATCATAATGTTACAAGCAACAGAAGAGTTTAATGCAATAATCAATAACTGATTTTAATTCGACTACAGAAACAAATAAAGATCTGACTTAATGCCACTATAAATAAAGTTACAAAATCGCAACGCCTAACCCAAGTGAGTTGTGTCGTAACAATGCGTGTTGCGCGTGGAAAATTCTAACACACAACCATTATTAAAAACTTATCTGCATCGGGAGTGGAGGTTGCAATTGGAAACGTTCAAAATTCAATTTAGCGATTTATCGGTGCGGCGAACTTTTCGATTTCTTACGCGAAACAATCAATTACTGAAGTGTTTAGCACGATCGCAACGGACCGATGCTAAATTATTGATAGAGCGACAAAACAGCCAGTGTTCCCATTGTTGTAATACAAAAAAAAATGAACCGATTTTAAAAGCAATCGCTGCAATAGTACCACGGTAACGATTAACCTCCACATTGTTAAGGGATAGACGTTGGGTTGTAGGGTGTAGAGTTCATTTTTGAATGAAAACGTCCACTGTGAGGCCGACCGCGCATTAGCTCCACCATTGAGTTTGGGTACGGAGATGAAAACTAGCTGGCACTCGAGAAAAAGAATGGAGCGAGGTTTTTTGAGAAAAAAGAACGCTCTCGCGGTGTTAGCACAGCTGCTCGTAGGCCGATCTTATTACAGCATCTTAGATTGATTTTATCAGATACGTCCCTAGACCGTTCAGCTATAGGATTACCAAATTCCTACTTCGAACCATGGTCGGTTTCCTTGATTAAACGTGAGCAAAATTTCGTTGCTTTAGATCCACACGAACGATATTGTGATTTTATTTGTTGAAATTTTAAAACAAATTTTAACGGAAAATTTCACGCAAAAATATTCCATCAGAAATATAATTTGAGTTTATGGTATTGGATTGATTTCAGAATGCGGCCCCAGAATCACCTTAGAATGTCACTGAGATTGGGTGCGGTATATTAACTTGGTAGATCTGTTTGAGAAAACGTGGAATTATATCCAGTCTCATCATTTAAGGTGGGAGTATTGACTGAGTAGACTTTAAACAGTACTTAAGAACTAACACTCATTGAATGCCAGTGCATCTCATCAATGAGGAATCAGTATCCTTCGTAACTTTATCAATCAAAGCAACATAGGTGAAATGCAATTCAAACTTAAAAAACTCAAAATCTTTATTTAAATGGACTTTGCTAAGTACTTTAAAATCGTCAATTCCCTACCACCGTTTCGAGACCAAATAATTATAACACATGAAGAATTATTATGCTGTTATGTGGGAGAAGAAACGGCGTAAGAAACTCCACAGCTTACAAATTCCTAACTATCTTAAAACATCAATACTAAACAGATAACAATAGCAACCCGGTTTTGAACATATTTTGAAGTAAGATAACCATAAAGTTCTAGTTGATGTTTTAAAGACATCGCACAGTCCTCAGATCTTGTGTCTGTTTTTGCTATTATTTGCTACATCACTGCAACCGCAAACTATGCTACTTACTCATTGAAGTACGACAGACTTATTGTATTTAAAAACCGATTTATTTTTTACTACGCAGGCCAAGTTTCTAAAAGGTTTTTCTTTGGTCAGAACAGTTTTGTCTTCGAAATAGAAGTAAGACAAAATTGCTATAGTTTTTAGCAGGTAGGTTTTCCTAAAATGGCTTATTGGGGTAAAGAATATCCAACCAGTCTCATGTATTTCGTTAATCGTCGCGGTATGGCTATGTGCACAGCTATCTGGGAATATATTTATATACATATTATATGACATAAGGTCATTTGTATGGATGCTGTTTCGCAGAGAATATGGCATCCAATATTGTATTCCATTTTTACGTTAGTACTTACTCAGGTATCCATTATGTTTGTCAGCGATATCGTTTCATAGCGGATATCTATTCTCTACAGAAGCGACCAACTTTCAAGTGTTCACTATGCGTTCTATGTTTCCTCTTATGGTTTTGTATCTATCTATATTTGCTGATGGTTGTTGCTTCGACTAATTGGTCTTCCGAATCAACCTCCTCATGAAACTTTTTGCTCTAGTTACATTTATGTTTATTTAATGTTAAAGTTCTTGTTGCAATTCGTAATATCGCCTTTTTACTCACTATTTTAAGTAGCAATGTCCTTGACAATACCAAAAGTTCATTAATTGTTCTGTCATTTTGGCGTAATCAGCGTCATTCAGTAACACACAAAAACAGAAACTACACTTCCTCATTTACTGTCTTAGTTGCAAATTAGAATATTGAAGGTATGGAGAGTTTACATTAGCGAAAGAACTATAAAATGGAACTGTCATGACCGTAAGCTGATGTAACGTAACCGGGTTAGCGCGATCCGGGCCAATAGCGAGGTCAAGGCGGCCCATTGTTATAATACAACCATTACCCGGCTTCAATCGCTCGTAATTATGTAATTAACTATTTTTATATTGTATACGCTGAACGCTTTTTTCCCCCCAAACCAATTTAAGGTTAGGCCTTTGTATGAAGTGAAGCCGTGTAAAAAGTTTGCTATTGTTAGTATTTATATTGTGTGTACCTACATTTTATTCTTTGTAATATGGTATTCGTAATGAGTGAGCGTCATTCTTTGAAGGCGTCATTATTCTTAAGCGTTCCTCTTGCATTGGTTCTTTACCGGTCGGTAATACGTTTTCCAAAAAAAATATATCATCCATGTATTCTTTAATCATCATCTGCCTAGATTCTTATTCTCCACTTTTTGCAACAAGTCCAACAAAGTACTTCCCTGGCTGAGCGCATATCCACTATCTTTCATTCAGAGTTATAGAATATATTTTTAAAATCTCACAGAAGCTTAAAAATTTACATATAAATAAGCGTACTAATTTAAACTATATCGTATTTATATTTATCTTTACAGAATTCTCCCTGTCATATGTAGTACCCATATTAAAAAGATTTCTTCTACCTGTGTTTTGAAGGCATGGTTATTGCTCAAAAAATCTTTATTATAATTGTTCACGTGTCTCGTGGGACGTTCTTGAACATTAGAAAGTTGTCAGAATCTTACGGAATATGATTATTGTATGATATCGACTAGTTTTGTAGCAACAT